AGGAGATGGAGAATGTGGACATGGAAGATCACGATGATGATGATGCTGATGAAGAACTTGAGTTTTTGCCAAGGCTACAGGTTTTTGTCAGGCCACAGGAAGAGAAAAGTGGAAGCTCTCAAGAGAGAGAGGAACCACAACAACAACAACAAGAAGAAGTTGTTGCATCTGAAATTCAAGTTGAACCAGAAGATGAAGTGGTACCAGATGCAAATCCTCGAAGAAATCCTGAAGACCGACATGGACTATTTTTGGTCAGGCAACCCAAACCAGAGCACAGAAGTATCCTACATGAGATTACACTTGCAGGTCAAACAGTCCTTCATCCCGATGACTTGGAAGGAGGTCAACCCTTAGCACGCGGTGACATCTCCTATTTCTCATTATGGTTGATGATGTCGGTAGTGGCAGATGCTCCATTTTCAACATTTATGGACCAATATGCACCGTCGATGGGTTATGAGATCTCTTTCGAAAAGTTTCATGAGTTCAAACTGGATGTTACAAAGGTTCTCAAGGACAATGAACACATCACTGCAGACAATTTTCTTGATACAGAGGATCCTGAGATGGTGGACGATGATCCAAATACTCCACTTCCTGATCTTCAAGGACAAAGCAGTGCCGATCCTGAGTACAAACACACAATTGAAAGTTTGAACATTGAGGACAAGCATATCATTTTGGAAACTGATGATGACAAATTGGTTGAGAGTACTCTGAAATGGATTAGTATGTGCAGCAAGAATGTTCAGCAAAAGATCAAGGAGAGTTTCATCAAGGAAGAGGCAAAACAGGAAGAAAAAGAAGAAGAAGAGGAAGTTGTTGTCGAAGAAGAAGAAGATACAAAGGAGCCACATGTCCCAGCTGAAAGCTCTTGTGAGAAAGAGGAATCAGCTCCACCTGAATGCTCCTCAGAGAAGGAGGAATCAGGGGAGAAAAAGACAGACATTCAAGATGATGAGACAGCTCCAGAAGTGAAACCTGCACAGAGATTTTACTATGGTCAAGACATCACTGGAAACGAAGATGACTCAGTTTTTCGAAAATTGAAAGATTGTTTTTCAGATGGTTACCATGGTGAATGGGCAGGATTTTACAATCAAGGTTATCCAGCTTCTTCGAAACATCGACACATGTTCTGGCATGTTAAATACAGAAAGACTATGTCTCCACATCAAGATTATTGGTGCCATCTTACAGATGAACAGTTGATGGCCGAGTACATTGCCAGACACAAAGATCAACAACCATCACAGGAACCCGATGAACTCAAGAATAACATTGAATATGGTTGTAGTGATCCAAGAATGCATCCTCTTCATCAAAACAAATCAGAAGAAGCCTCAAAAGAAGCAGAACGAAGAATTGATGACGATTTTGGAAATTTGACGCAGGTGCTTCGAGATTATGTTGAGGACCACAAGGTCTTGCCTTACTGTATGATCTTGCACAGCTTGGCTTACAGGTATTTAGGTGGAGGCCTATTAGACCCAACATACAAGGATGCAGAATTTCCTTACAGATCATCTCCACAAATTACAATGATGTTTCGGAATTTGGGAAACTGGTGCAGAAACAGATTTGAAAAATGCCCTGTTCCAGAAAGATTTCAACAATTCATTCCACACATCGACTACACTATTGATGAAGAACATGAAAAGTTTGATGAGAACAAGACACAGTTCAACAATTACTTCATCAACGTCATCAAGAACTTTGGAGGACATCTTTTCATGAATTGTGAAGCTGGTTCATTGTATCCTCACAGAGAGAGACTCAACGAGGTTGACTTTAAAACTTGCTTCAATGACTATCATGACTTGATGGTGGCAGCTCGCATAGGAAAGGACGGTGATATAAGGCAAATTGCTGGATATCACACAGATGACAACGACACACGAGTTCGACAAGTCTCTTGGGCAATCTTTGAAGTATCTTGGGGAAAGACAAAGAACCGTGATACAGATGAGATTGAGGACTTGACACGGGCCAGGATGAAGATGACACGTGTGTGCGTTTTTCACGTTGGACAGAAGTATGCATCAGATTCTCCTGGTATTGTTGGTGAGTGTTTAGCTGTTATGGCTTTTGAGTGTGCTAGATATCAAGTTGACGTCATCGCAGGTGATGGAAACAAGGCATGCTATTACACCACACCAAAATCTCCAGGTGTCCCTACATATCAACACAGTCTAATCCAATTCTGGATCAACAGAATGATGGGTGCTGCAACACAAGCCCTACGCAAGCATTTTGATTCAACATACCCTCCAGTCAGGGTCAAACATTTCATTTCTTGCAGTTATCGGGATCTTGATTTTCTTGCAACGCACTTGGATGGCATTACAACAGCTTCATATACCGACGAGCTCGTGAAGAAGACATCGGGCAAAGGCGATTGCTGTATGCTGTCAGTTGTTGAGTGGGGTCATTCACGTCTGGTGTCTCAGGAATACCCTGAATACTACGAAGATGAAGATCACATGAACTATGTGGGTGAATTTTACTTCAAGGTAAATGAAACTTGCTTACATGGTGATCACAATATCTTCATGGTTGCTCCAAATGATCGTGATGCCCATAATCCAATTCTTGTGCATTTGGATCCTTCTGATATGTCGTGGAATGAACGACATCATTATAAGCCAGCGAACATGAAGATGAAGTATGCCGCTTCAAGAAAAGAAAGGCAGAAGGAGAAAAAGAGAAAGGCATATGAAGATCAGGCATCAACGTATCAGGGCAACACGAGTTGGGGTGGATCCTCATCTTCTTCGTCCAGACCATGGAGACAAACCTTTTGGCTATGAGTGAGTGTATACTTCTTAAAATGAAGATAACACAGCATGAGAGGCTGTGTACAGTTTTTCTGTGCATCAACTTATTTCACACAGATGGCATATACTCTTTTAGATAGAGACAATGCCACAAGTGTCTGAACTTCAATTTAATGTAAAATAGATACTCTTGTACATAGAGATACTATACACATTTATCTCCATGAAACCTTCTGCGAGCAGACCACTCCGAACGGAGCGAACTCCAAAAATTACCAACTTCGATTTCTGTCCATTGTTTGCTTGAATGAGCAACTTTGGAGATCCGCTATTTCCGTTTATTTCGTGATTTGGTCAATTGTTTTTCGTATGACCGGAATTTCTGAATCTTGCGAACCGAACTTTTCAATTCGAACTTTCACCGGTAGAGCGAGGCATTTTGCCTATGGAGAGACCGTGCGCGAAGCACCATTGGTCGCTACTGGAAAAATTTAGCGAATCCGCTGCTCTTTTTCGGCATGTCTTTATGACATTCGCTGCTTTCACGTGTTTTTCAATTCGCAGCCACTGCGTAACTCCGGTTTATTTTTGCTATTTGCCATTGTGTAGAGAAGACAGGAAGATACTCTTAATACCGATTGAGTACGACAAGGCGTAGTGCTCTACTCATTGCTTTTGAATTTGTGCCTGTGCTTTTGTTTCGACCTAATACCTACAGAGGTACATGCATGAGTATTGAGCACATTTATATGCGCCCTTCAAGGCTCAAGAGGTATATAGAGTAACCCTGTAGACATAGCACTGACCGGCAACAGGCTGAGTAAAAGAGTGCTGTCATTGGGGAAGACGCCTTAGCTGATCTTGAAGTAGACGCTAGGGCCCCTCTTCACCCCCCCTCCCCCCTCCCCCCCCCACCACCACCACCACCAACACCACCATCCATCATCATCATCGTCATCATCAATCGTCATCATCATCATCAATCATCATCATCATCGTCATCGTCCTCGCCATCGTCCTCGTCAGTCATCATCATCATCAGCATCATCACCATCACCACCATCATCGTCATCATCAGCGTCATCATCATCATCATCACCATCATCATCATCATCATCATCACCACCACCACCATCATCATCATCGTCATCATCATCGTCATCATCATCATCATCATCATCGTCCTCGCCATCGTCCTCGTCATCGTCATCATCATCATCATCACCATCACCATCACCACCATCATCATCGTCATCATCATCGTCATCATCATCATCACCATCATCATCATCATCACCATCACCACCACCATCATCATCATCGTCATCATCATCGTCATCATCATCATCATCGTCCTCGTCCTCGTCATCGTCGTCATCATCATCATCATCATCATCATCATCGCCCTCGTCCTCGTCCTTGTCCTCGTCATCGTCATCGTCCTCGTCATCGTCATCGTCATCATCATCATCATCATCATCACCATCATCGTGAATCAATTACATTTTATCATTATTGGCAATTATTGGCATTATCACGAAAGCTAGCGTCAGCTCGCTAGAGTCTTCTTGCTTTAGCAAGTATTCCGGGGCTCCCCAAGGACATCACGTGCTTTTTCACGCGAAAAGGCCCCCCCCTGCCCCCTCCCCCATATATATCATTGTTATATATCATATATCATATATCATATATCATTGTTGCATCCTCGTTGGGACGAACAATGCCGCGACACGATGATGACAGTCCCTCCGCAACTCACCTCTTCCCTTCCTTCTTTCTCCTACCCCGCTAGCTTTCGTCATCCACCCCCGGCCTCAAGTTAGCGATACCATTATATAGTGATACCTATCCACTTGTTCCAAAAATGGCATCAGAACGCAGATAGACAATTTTTTCCTTTTCCTTTCCTCTTCCTTCATCCTTTCCTTTTCCTTTCCCCTTCCTTTCCTTTTCCTTTCGTTTTCTGTTCCTTTTCTCTTTCTTACACAGATTTGTTTCTCCATCAACTTCAGAAATACAAAACTATTGTTAGCGATAGGCACCCCCCCCATAGCGGTACCTTGTTGTTGACTCTTTTGATGGCGGCTCATATACTTCCCAGAATTTCGTGTTACACGCCCGTATCTGGCAGGAAATCCATACATTCATGGAATTTCCCTTCAACCGAACCCCATGAACACATTGTAAGTAGAATGTCAATGTGGGTGCTTCAGAGCTCAGGTTTTTGCTTGAAGCCGTGGCTTCTTGTGGAGATGTGTGGGGATCCAATGGGCAGGGAGATCCGCGTGACCAAAGTCACATCAACAGCATCGGTGCCATGGAAACGAAAGGAGGCCAGATGGGTTCCTTTGTTCAGTGCGCATGACATGCATGGATGATGACCTCAGTTGCACGCGTTTGATCGCGTTTGTTTGATTTTTGTTTGTTCGGCAACGAGCAAAGCGGGAGGAGTTCTACGAAGTGTCACCTTGCAGATTCACTACCACCTATTGTTCTTTGCTGCCAACGGTTTTGCGCATGAACGAGAGACATGGTGGCTACTTGTTCTTTGACCAGCGTGGCCGAATTTACCGCATACGTGATGAAGAGATCCTTTCGCAGCAAGATGTTGCCTGGCAGTTCTATGCAGTTCTCCTCGGATCATGAGATTGTTGAAAATTTGCCCCTCGTTGTTTGGATACCAATCGGCCAGACCTGTGGGCCAAAGAAAATAGGATGTGCATAAAGACCAGGTGACCAGCGGTTGGAAAGAGGGAGAGGGAAACCATGCAAGTTTTCAACAATTTTCAATGCCAGGATTGGATTGCTCCAAGTTTCGTTGCGGACAGTGTCCAGCGAGTGGTTACTTTCAAGTTTCCCGCAGAAAGTGGGGCAGGGCGCGCCTGCTTGTTCTCAGTGCTGTCGCGATTCGAATACTTTCAGAAAGCTTTAGACAATTGGCGGGAAGGTGCTTCTGCCGAACTGGTTGTTACAGATGCCACCACCCAAACCTTTGATTTGATGCTCCGCTATTTCCACACCGGAACCCTTGATAGCGAACTTACTTTGGAGAACCTGGTGGCATTGCTTGAGCTTGGCAACAAGTATTTGTTGCCGCATCTCATGGCGCTCTGCATGGCTAAGATCCTACGCGCCCCAGCTGCATTGATGCACTTGTTCACTAGAAAACCCGTCTTGCAGCGGCCAATGCACCACCCAGTGACTAGTTCTTACCAGTAGTACCGCACAAGGCGGTGGCGGAAGTTTCAGAATAGGAAACCTATAGGAGACGTTGGTTGTTGTGAATCACGGATGGCGGAGCGAATCCACTGATTGACCGAAAGGTGGTTGGAGTTGTGTTTGCTGGAATGGTTGCAATGGTTGCAGTGGTCACCTCACCCACAACTGCTGGATGTAGTGTGATGTACTGCAACTGTAGTTGTAGTTGTAGCGTAGTGGAGTTGCAGTTGTGGTGTAATGTAATTAGTGTAGTGTAGTTGCAGTCATATAGTTGTAGATGTAGTAGTTGTTGTAGTTGTAGCTGTAGTTGTTGTGTGGTTGTAGTTGTTGTGTAGTGTAGTAGTAGTAGTAGTAGTAGTAGTAGTAGTAGTAGTAGTAGTAGTAGTAGTAGTAGTAGTAGTAGTAGTAGTAGTAGTAGTTGTAGTTGTAGTAGTAGTAGTAGTAGTTGTTGTAGTAGTAGTTGTAGTTGTTGTAGTTGTAGTTGTTGTTGTTGCTGTAGTAGTAGTAGTAGTTGTTGTTGTTGTAGTTGTAGTTGTTGTAGTTGTAGTTCTAGTTGTAGTTGTTGTGTAGTTGTAGTTGTTGTAGTAGTAGTTGTAGTTCTAGTTGTAGTTGTTGTGTAGTTGTAGTTGTTGTTGTAGTAGTAGTTGTTGTTGTTGTTGTTGCTGTTGTTGTTGTTGTAGTAGTTGTAGTTCTAGTTGTAGTTGTCGTGTAGTAGTTGTAGTTGTTGTAGTTGTAGTTGTTGTAGTTGTTGTGGTTGGTGTTGTTGTTGTGGTTGTGGTTGTTGTTGTTGTTGTTGTTGTTGTTGTTGTTGTTGTTGTTGTTGTTGTTGTTGTTGTTGTTGTTGTTGTTGTTGTTGTTGTTGTTGTTGTTGTTGGTGTTGTTGTTAGTGTTGTTGCTGTTGCTGTTGCTGTTGTCGTCGAAGTTAGGGTAGTTAAGTTAGTGAAGTTAGTTAAGTTAGTCAAGTTAGTTAAGTTAACCAATGTCTACTTTTTCGACATCTTCACGTCAAAAGAGGCTCAAAACCCTCAGTTTTTTACACTTTTGACTTCGAAATGTGCTTCGCGCCACAACGGCGTGCACTTTTTCGACACTTTTGCGACATCTGAACCTCCAAAAGTGGTCCGAGACCGTCAGTTTTTAACACTTTTTACTTGGAAATGTGCTTCGCGCCACAACGGCGTGCACTTTTTCGACATCTCAACTTCCAAAAGTGGTCCGAGACCGCCAGTTTTTAACACTTTTGACTTGGAAATGTGCTTCGCGCCACAACGGCGTGCACTTTTTCGACATCGCAACTTCCAAAAGTCGTCCGAAGCTGAGGCGTTTTGTACATTTTGACTTGGAAATGTGCTTCGCGCCACAACGGCGTGCACTTTTTCGACATCGCAACTTCCAAAAGTGGTCCGAAGCGGAGGTGTTTTGTACATTTTGACTTGGAAATGTGCTTCGCGCCACAACGGCGTGCACTTTTTCGACATCTCAACTTCCAAAAGTGGTCCGAAGCTGAGGTGTTTTGTACATTTTGACTTGGAAATGTGCTTCGCGCCACAACGGCGTGCACTTTTTCGACATCGCAACTTCCAAAAGTGGTCCGAGAATGGTGTGTTTTGTACATTTTCACTTGGAAATGTGCTTCGCGCCACAACGGCGTGCAATTTTTCATCGCTCCTGTGACCAGCTGGCTCCGCACCCGCCGCTTTAGCGAGCCTACTTTTCGACCCTCCTGAGCCACAAATCATTGGAAAAACACAGTGTTTCGCGACTTTCCTACCTTTTTGCGCATCTGTATCTTCTTTCTTCTGACTCTTTCTCTTCTCATCTTCTCTCTTCTAATCTTCCTCTTCTCTCTGCCTCTCCCCTACTCTGCTTTTCATCTGTCCATATTGTCGGAAGTTTGACTTCTAAACTTCCTTCGACTAATTGCTTGTCCTAGCGATGTGTTTTATGACCCGTGTTGGAAAAAAATACTGACTCACCAGTGCGTTAAAGTTGCACCACCGATGCTAAAGATAGACCGATGGCAAGTCACATTCAGTACTGTTCAAACACCAAAGGGCAATTTATTTTACCAGTGCGAAATTAACAGTAGAAAAGCGGGCGGCAGCAATGTTGCCGGCCATTTGTTTTCCAGCCCACTTTGGAATCTGGCTGCTATACATATATATATATATATTATATAATATCGTAAAACGGACCTCCAGTTTTAGCCAAGGACTGCTAGCAGAGAAGGACTTCATCAGAGATCAGAAACCGACTTTGATGGCAGACCTATTGCTTCTTGCAAGTGAGGCCAGTGCTTGCGGGGCATTCAAGTTGAAAATTATGGACTCTCTAAAAGTCTGATTCAGCAACGCTTGTGTTTCCTTTGGGTGGGGGGTCGATTGTGTTTTGCTCAATTTGGTTGTGTAGTGCTGTGGTTGGCAGTTGTTGTGCTCGCAAGTTTTTGCTGGTGTTGCTGCAGCCAGACATGGTCAGCCCAGTTTACAAAAGGATGCAAGCCAGAGTGCAAACCATTCCGAATATTTCCGAATGACTTACTAGCAACGCCTGGTAAAAACTTGAAACCGTCCCTTATGTGGAGGTTTATATAGACATGTGTCGACCACTGTATTGATGGGAGTCTCGATGGGTATATTTATGGCAGCGGTGCAAGCCGCGGGTGATGTTGGTGTTGTCGGTGCGGTGGAACTCAGGATGCCATTGCTTCTTGCAGACCTTCTCTCACACATGATGCTGACTTCCTGTCCCGGGTTGCAGCAAGATCAGCCAATCTCTTGGCCAAGTTGTTGTCGTCAATAAATCCTCCAGAAACCAGCCCCGAGCAACCTGGGAGTGTGCCGAAACGGAGGAGGATCCGACGCGAAAGGCAAAGGACATTGTGGGGGGATCCTGTGTTTGGACGCCAACTGGATGGGTTTCCCAACTCTGGGCATGATGACTTGCCAACTTGGAGCAAAAGTGCTTCGACCGTGGAAGAGCCTAGGCTTCCGTGATGCTGCAGTGATGCTATGGGGGTTCAAGCATGTGGGGGACAACAGAGGCATTGGGGAAGCGTGGCATCAATGCTTCAGAGCTGCTGAAGCCAAAAAAGAGTTCGCAAGTGGGCTAGCGGCTAGCGTAGCACCAGGGGTGTGAAAGGTGGCATAGCAGAAGGGAGTTTGAAGGACAAACTGAAAGCTTAGGACATTAACAAAAATGGGTGCCCGAAGAATCTTTCTACTTTCGAATGTTGCCGTTTTGCGGTTCTGTATTCAAGTTTGCTGGTGTCATGGTCAGTTGGGCAGGTGCTGATTAGTTCTAGATTCCAGAGCTGGAACGAGCTTTGATGGCTGGTTGGATCGGGGGATAGTGAAGCAGTTGGGATGTTGCTGTGGTCTTGCTTTGGTTCCCGGTTCCCTTGAAGCCTCTTTTTGAAACACCAAATTCATCCAAATTCAATTGTCATGGCATGTCATGGCTTATCGACATCGAATCGCTAGCCGGTTGTCCTGCTAGACTTTGTTTAAGCGAGGTTTCTGCGCAGAGTCCATCAAATTTATTTGTCATGGCTTTGGCAAAAGTCGTCTTGGACTTTGTTTAGGAGGCTTTTGGGCAGAGTCCGCCCAAGGGTCCCAGTGGACGAAAACTGATGTTGCAATATGTTGCAATGTGCCCTGAGCAAACATGTGACTTGTTTAGTCCTGATCCTTGCTGTGCTGTTTTCTTTCAGGCAACGGCGGTGTTTGATTATCACTTTTGGCTCAAGAACGTTGACGCAACAGGGGTCAAAGTGCACTAGTCACTACTGTAGCAGGTGAAAATCATTTTCTGGGACTCTTTCAACGATTTTTATGAATTTGTCTTGTGAGCCCGAAGCGATTCAAATCATTGGATAGATTTGGATAGCCGATAGCCGCTGGGCCTTCAACAAGATGAATGCCAGCGATTGCACATGCTGGCTGAAAAGGGGCCACTCGTTTTCCCCTCAAAATCCTCAAAGGACATCATTGCGTTTGCCCCCCATGCTGGTAACCTGACAGGATGTGATAGGTCTGATAGGTACGATTAATACGATTATATATAACGTCGGATTTTCCTTCGACAGTCGCGCCACGCGGCTCATCATTTTGTTGATTGGGGCCGGCTCTCCATGCTGAGTAAAGGCCAGCAAGAGTTCTCCTTATACCGTGTTGGAACTACCCAACTCTTTTGCAACAGAACCTGGCCAAACTGAGCCTGAGGAACCTTTGTTATCTTTGTTCCAGTAGTTCTCAGTAGTTTTTGAACTGAGATGAATTGATCATGGTTTTGCTGCCGCATCGCCTCCTTTTGAAAAGCTCGGGGTCTCCAAAATCATATGTCAGCAGCGAAACAATTGGATCGATTCAGCGAATATGTGGCTCAAAAGCATGGAAACAATAGGATTACGTGCAGTCATCTTCTCAGTTGTGTTGCCAGTGCTTTTGACATCTTTTGACCTTCCACACCCAACCATGCTCAAGCAAAAGGTGCTCTTGTATGATTCATATCACCCAACAGTGACTAGTTTTTGCTTGCTGCAATGCTGGTAGAAGAGGTTGCGACCAGCCTTCCGGCGGCAAAACTAGCAGCTGTCACGCGCAATCCTTGCACTGGTGCTATCTATGGGGTCCCGTGGTTGAATCCTGTGTGACACCTTGAACAGAGAGGGTTTTGGCACCAAATTTGATGTTCAAACTCTCACTTTTGGGTTCTCGTCATTTTTCGGCATTTGTCATTTTTTGGTGTCCCTTCAGCTGACTTCTTGGCATTCCGCGGTGCCTTTCCCCAAGGAAGGTGGTGTATCGGCAAGGCCTGACAGATGAGGCTGTTCAGATTAAAGCTTGGCTTTTGCGGCTAAGCGAGACTGAACAAGGAAACTTCTACTGGGATGCAGCTTGGCAAGAGGTCACATGGCTGACCGCAAGCATTTGGTTTGCATCAGAAACTAAACATTCAAAAGAGTCTGCTGTCATCAGTTGCCCCTGGAAGTCAGAATAGGTTGGGATCCGAAGCCGATCGAAGCCGACCAAGGATTTCGTGTCAGTCTGCGGGTCCTGTAAAGAGATGCTAAGCAGCGTTGTCCAGTATGTCAAGGCCGGAAAGGAGCTGGCAAGTGCTTTCAGTTTGAGTGTCGCGAAACTTCCCTTCGGTCTGGATGCGGAGAGTTGCCGGTGGCGCGGCCGACGTATTGCGGCAGTCATCCCTTGTTTGGTGGCTACCGGGCTACCGGCTCCCAGATGCCATGGTGGGAGATGTGGGCCCGGCGCAGATGACCGCTTTGACATTTCCATGGTGCCCACACGGCGCTGCAACGAGGTATTTGTCTTTCCAGGCTAAAGAGAAGATCAGGACGGAGGTGGTTTGCTGCTCGGTAGACAAGTCTTGGAGGCGAGGGAACGGGCGCAGCAGCGCAGCAGGTGGATGTGTTGTGAAGTGATGGAAACTGATGGAAATTCGATGAAACGAGTGGCCCGCTATAGATTCATGGCTGGTGATTTTGTTTATCTTTGACTCTCTTGGATGGGGATGTTTTGTTCCTAGCGGTTCTTTCAGTCTCAAACTGTCTCAAGAACTTATTTTCTCGCTGTTCCAGGATCCCTCTACTCTTATCATGGATTTTTCTTGAGGGGACGGCCTTTTTTATTACATACCCTCTGGTAAACTAACATAACTATGGACAATCACATTTCTTTATGGGTAAATCATCCCTCCTACCTTAATGAAATTATTTCAAGGGGGGGGTTACCCTCCAAAATAATTTTTTGAAAATAATTTCAAAAATCTAACATGTTGGATGTATAGATTTATAGACTCTAACCATTGCCAAAATAATTTCTGGTTGGAAATTATTTTGATGGGTTACCCCCCCCTCAAAATAATTTTGACGAAAACACTCTCACAGCAAAAAAATTATTTCAAAATAATTTTGGTGTTTGACCTTGTTTTGATCCGATGACATATTCCACCTTTGGTCGTACACTCAAGTTTCTGCAGGCTGTGTTCACACAGCACTTCTTCGCAGTGATGGCAGTGTTGTAACTTTCGGAGGAAACGATGTAGAACAATGCGATATCCCATCTTGCGCAATGTTGGGCTTGCAAAAGTGGCTTATTATGTTTTAGGTTTTTTGTTTTTTTAGGATTGATGCGTTGCGAATCCTACAACGCAAATAAATTCAACATCATGTTTCATGTGTGCTCCCTGGTAGTCATGTCAGAATTCCCCCTCAATCTTAAGTTGCAGCAAGAACGCATCAAAACTTGCAACTCGAAACCAAACTCGTTCTTTAAGAAATTATTCAAAGGATCTTGGAGATGCCCTGCATTCCTCAAAAATCAATGTGGGAAGCTGCCAGAACCATCCAACTCGCCCATATACTGGAAACAAATGAAAAACCTATCAAAACCGAACGCTTCCCAAAAAAGAGTTCGTTGGAGGGAAATAAAGGGAATATTGGAGAAAAATGGGAAATATGACAGGTTAGGAAAATCACTACAGGAAAGGGCCAGGTTGAATACTATTTTGTGGTATTTCCCACGGGGAAAAATTATTTTAGGGGTATTGGAGATACCCTGCACTCCTCAAAAACCAAAGTGAGCAGCTGCCAGAACCATCCAACTCGCCCAGAAACTGGAAAAACATGAAAAACCTATCAAAACCGAACGCTTCCCAAAAAAAAGTTCTTTGGAGGGAAATGAAGGAAATATGGGAGAAAGAGGGAAAAACATGAAAGGCTAGAAAAACCACTATAGCAAAGAGCTAAGTTGAATACCATTTTGTGCGATTTCCCAAGAGGATAAATTATTCTAGGGGTATTGGAGATGCCTTGCACTTCCCAAAATTCAAAGTGAGCAGCTGCCAGAACCATCCAACTCGCCCATAAACTGGAAACAATTGAGCAATCTATAAAATCCGAACGCTTCCCAAAAAAGAGTTCTTTGGAGGGAAATGAAGGGAATATGGGAGAAATAAGAGGAAATATGACAGGTTAGGAAAATCACTACAGGAAAGGAATACTATTTTGTGGGATTTCCCAAGCGGAGAAACTATTTTAGGGGTATTGGAGATACCCTGCACTCCTCAAAAATCAAAGTGAGCAGCTGCCAGAACCATCAAACTCGTCCATATACTGGAAACAAATGAAAAACCTATCAAAACCGAACGCTTCCCAAAAAAGAGTTCGTTGGAGGGAAATGAAGGGAATATGGGAGAAATAATGGGAAATATGACAGGTTAGGAAAATCACTACAGGAAAGGGCCAGGTTGAATACTATTCTGTGGGATTTCCCAAGAGAAGAAATTATTCTAGGGGTAGTGGAGATATCCTGCCCTTCCCAAAAATCAAAGTGAGCAGCTGCCAGAACCATCCAACTCGCCCAGAAACTGGAAAAAACATGAAAAACCTATCAAAACCGAACGCTTCCCAAAAATGAGTTCTTTGGAGGGAAATGAAGGGAATATGGGAGAAATAATGGGAAATATGACAGGTTAGGAAAATCACTACAGTGTCACTACAGGAAAGGGCCAGGTTGAATACCATTCCGTGGGATTTCCCATGGGAAGAAATTATTCTAGGGGTATTGGAGATACTCTGCACTCCTCAAAAATCAAAGTGAGCAGCTGCCAGCTGAAAAAAAAAATAAACACCGAATGCTTTCCCTTTCACAGTCATTCCCACCGAGTGTTCTTTGGAAGGAAATGAAGGGAATGTGAGAGAAATGTGGGGAAGTATGAAAAAAATGGAAATATGTAGGAAAGAACCAGTGATGAAGATGGGTTGAACATCATTTTGCGGGAATCCCCAAGTGTTTTTTTTAAATCTTTTTTTGTTCAACCATTTAAAATTTAGATGAAGTTATGTCAAAACATAGTTATTCCAGGGTATATTTGAAGGCTTAGATTATAATTCGCATATTCCAATATGCACATCCGTAGGCCCACTGCTTAGGAAAATTATTCAACAACATGTTTTCTTTAAACATATTCCAAAACCTGGTTGATACCCCCGCGTTTTTCTTGAAGGGATGGAATATCCCCGGTACACCTGCGAAGGCGATCATGTCGGGTAGGGGGGGGTCCCAAAGTATACATATGTAAAGATTGGAGTCTCCGGAGGGGGGCAAAATAATTAACTCCCCAGGGGTTGAAATAATTTTTACGAAGGTTCACCACCGTCGATGAAGGGGAGGGGGGGGGTCTATCGTAAGAAATTATTTTACCCTAAAGAGGGTTGTTTCGTATAACAACCGAAGACACTATCAACCCCCTGAAAATAATTTTGGAAATTATTTTGAGGAGGGGGGGAGGGGGGGGGTAGTTTAGGTAGGGTAGATGGTAAATCAACTATAAATGGTCCATTTTCAATAGCTATGTTAGTTTACCAGAGGGTAATTTTTTTTTGTGTTTTCCCCCTCATGGCCATCCACCATTGTACCATAGGCACCCCAACATCGCCAGGTTTGATTGCCCCCCTGGATCCAGCAATCTCAATTGAGCAATGCAGTGTACATGATATAACGCTCAACGCCCCAGTGGCTTGATTTTTTTCAGAGATGGTCGTCTCCAACCAGCCCCGGGACCCTGAAAAATACCAATCAATGAAGCCACCGCGGTCCCAGATCCGGTGTATGAAGCTGTACCAGACCGCGCCGTGGACGGCTGACGTGGAATTGAGCTCAGTGGCTGCTGCGTTGTGGCAGCTACTTGGATGGAGAGCGGGAGGTGCTATGGATGACAGAGATGAAGATGTGGAGAGGATACCAAAAAAGTGATACATTCAGCAATTTGCATTGTTATTTTTCAAGCCTAGATGGCCTATACCTTCAGACTCCAGCCAAGGACCTGGAACGACAAATCCTGGCAAACGGTGGCTGAAATAGCCAAGCCGCCACTGCCACTTGGCCCACTTAAAGCACCGTTCCTGACCATTTTTCTCTTAGAGAAACCACGGCAACGTAGAACTTTGCATTGATTTTCCATGAATTTCCATGGTTTTCCTCTATTTTAAGGTATTAGTGTATTAGTGTTCTATCTTGTTCGGGATTGCTGTACCGCAACTTTTTGGTTGATGGGGTCAACTGCAATTTGATCGCCATCGCCCCAAGTGACTTTGATCAGCTCCAGCAGCCAGACGTGCAACTCCTGAGGGTCTGAAACCAGGGGATCCCCAAAGCCACTGGTGATCGTTTTCTTCATTGAACTTGCAACTTGGGGGCCTAGACAAAGCAAAGCCACTTGAAGATTTTTGTTGACCATGGTCCATCTGAATCAACCCACACCCCCGCGTTGGCAACGCCTCTTCCATTGAGACATGTTCGGGCTCAAGCCGCGAAAGGCTGCTGAGGCCGCCTCACTTTCCCGCGTCGGCATTTTGCCATGGCACATCAGGATCTCCCATTTGTGGCCTCCGCCACGGCGTTAGTGTTCGTCGCCATGATGTGGGCTTTGTCTCTATGTATTTCCCACCGCGATGCTCAGCAAAACACAAGGGGTGGGCGGTTAAGTAGCCATAGTGATTGCAAGTCGCCCAAGTAATTCCCATCATTTGCTCGCCATAAGTTTGACCCTCGTGGGACAACATATGTATGACAAATAAAGGCAAGAAATAGGTGGATCCAATTATATCATATTATATCCAATTATGCTCATATACATACGTACTTACATACCCTGACCCTGACCTTCCAAATTATTGTTTAACTGGCATTTTTATAAAGTGCTCGTTTCCCAAGGTCTCTTCACAAAGTAGTTTCACCGGTTGATCATGCCTCCACTCCCTGTGCTTCATTAAATGGCTAGGGCTTAAAATGTTCACAATTGACCACCTAGGAAAAATACTATGAGTCAACATATCAAACCACGCCACAATGCAAAATGGTGTCAGCCACACAAGTGTGAAAAGTACACGAAAACCCGTGATTTTGGCGCGAAAGTGAGTGGAAAGCCCATTTTGGGATCACTTGGAACGCGTGAAAATTGTGAAAATTTGCAAGATTCCCAATGCAACTCGCAGCTCATCCGTAATTGAAAGTGTGGTTGAAGTGTCTGTTGCGTAAAGCCACCTGCTGAAGCGGAACGGAAGGATACCGCTAGGTTCTTGATGCTTATCCATAGAACCATGAAGTACTTGTAATTATATATTTGATATTATTTGTGTCAAAGTCGAAATGGCACTTTGCAGTCAGTACGTAACCCAGGCACTTTGCTTGAACACGTTTGTTTCCAAGGCACTATGGAAGATCAGAGATGCATGCATGCATCCATCCATCCATACAGACGTATGTGCTGCCACGTACGTATATTCATATTTTATATGATTTTATGAGAGAGAGAGAGGGAGAGACAGAGAGAGAGAGAGAGAGCGTGTTTTTACGGACCACACCCTAGCTCATCCCCTTAACTGCAGGGGTGGGGGGTATGGAACCCGGGTCTGATGCAGGAGGGATGCGTCTTATCCACTAGACCATACCGGCCCTCTTATATGATTTTATGATATGATTGCGGAGAGATTGAAGGGCTGGTAGCTACCCAAAGGTCAACGTATCAACGGCAGCAGCCGGCAGCAAAACCCTTTTTATGCGAAGTGCAAAAGCTGACGTGGCCACGTCTTGAGCCATGACCAAGCGAGCAGCACAGTCAAGCATGTACACATGCAACATGCACTACAACCCACCAATCCTAGGTTTTCACATCCAAGGAAGGTAGTGTTGACTGTGCTTCGAATTCAAAAGTTGCGCATTGGCAACCGAGATCGACTGGACGCAGCCAGGATAGATTTGCCGGACGCAGCCGGGCTATTAGCTTCGAGTCCCTTCATGCGGTCCTTGCGGCGCTGCCGCTGGGCTTTTCGTAGACCGCGACGTCTTTCTTCTTCCTTTGCCTCTTCTGCGGTTTCTTTCAGGCTGATACGTCCACTTCTCATGAACTCAGCCCAGAGCACCGGCGCCATCATCTTTGTCAGGAAGTCGGCAAATTGCCGATATGTAGGGACCCATCGCATCAATACCACGTTGTTTTCCACCAAATCCTTGCAAACGAGGAGATCCAAAAGCGTTTGACGCTCTGTAGGGATCTGGCCTGTAGTCACCAGATGATCAAAAAGGCTCTTTGCGTCAGTGATCACACTTCCAGGAATTTTCAAATGCTGACGCCATGTCGGGGCAATCTCTTGAACTCCAGTGAGCAACATCTGTAAGATAAGTCGAAGGTAGAGATGCCTGTCAGCCGCAGTACAAAGTGAAAGGGCTTCTGCCGACATTGAAGATCGTACCACTCTTGTGGACTTGTTTGTAGTGAAATCCACCACACTTGCAGGAGCAGGGCCCTGAGATGCCTTTGCAGATCCAACGAAGTGGATTGATCCAAGTTGAGAGCGTCCTTGCTCCTCTTTTCCAAGACTGGCATCGAAGAAAGTGAAGACCGCCAGCTCCTTCTCTGGGATGTGCCTGTACCAAAGGCGACCATGTCCCCGGTGGACTTCCTCCTTCATGAGGTTCAGGACCTTGATGGCTTCGTTGAAAGTGGCGATAGTGCCGTGGTTAATGGACTGCGCCAGGCGTGACACCAAATACAGAATCTGCGGCATGGTGTGTTGTGCTGGCCATCTCATTTTCATAACCAACCTCCTCAAAGTTGTCACCTGCTCGGGAGACAGAGGAGTTTCCGGCTTCCCCTTCGGAGCGTCCGGGGGTTCTATCCCTTGGACATACTTGTCCATACGATCGGTGAAACCGTCCTTCTCCTTGTGGAGTTCGACTCCCAGGAAATTCAAAGGTTTTCCTTCTTCGAGGAATTGCCATTCCTTGATGTTAAAACGCTGGTTGATCTTCTCCCGAAGCTTAACAAATTTCTCATCCTTGTCATCCCCAACTAGAAGGCCATCATCGACATGAAGGGCGCAGATGGCCCAAGTCTTACCCTTGTCGGAGGCAAGGAAAACACTTCTGGACGCAGCCAGTTCTTTCAGCTCTACCTCATCCATGCCATCCTTGGCCTCCAAGTACCACAAACGTGGACTTTCAGTCAGCCCATAGGCGCTCTTGAGTACTTGCATCAATTCCAGAGGCCGGATAGCTCGATGTTCACCCACCCGGGGTAGACCGGTGGTGGGAGCTCGGACATAGATCTCTCTTTCTGTGGCTTTCCCACTGAGAAAAGCGGTTGAAACATCAAAACTGTATATCTGGTAGCCTCTGGACGCAGCCAGAAGTTTGATCAACCTTGTGGTCATAGTGGCTGCAGTTGGAGAGTCTGTTCGGTATGTTCCGATTTCTGGGTCGAGGTGGCCTGGAATAATGAGTCTGGATTTCGCCACCAAAGGTGCCAATTTCTCTGCAGCTTTGTTGACTCTCACGATGCGCATGGGAGCTCGAAAGATCTTAGATCTTGGGACCCGGGCTGCTTCGTCCGGCTGAAGGAATCGCACCACTTTGTTGGCCAACCATTGCGACCATTCCTTTTGGTCAGCCCTTTCAAAGGCTTCCTGTTCCTCGGAGTTGAAGAACTTGGGATCTAGTTCCTTCTTGTTCTCCTTCAGTCGCAAGACCAGTGCATCAGCGACCAGTAGATCTCGGATTTCCTCACACCACAGGGTATGAAATTCTGCAGCTTCTTGCATCTTCGCCTCAATGAGGCCCCCAGGAAGTTCAACGTAGACCCGATGTGACTTGTGGTTCTTTTCACGGTGAAAGATGGTCAAACCAGTCCAGAGGAAAGGTGCCTTCTTCTTTGGATGCATGGTGACCTCCTGCGCATTCTCCTCTACCACGAGGGTCACAGAAGGGTCTTGCCCAATCAGCACGCTTGTTCGTGCTCGGTTTCGAGCTTTCGTGGGTACTTGCATTCTCTTCCTTGGAGCACGGTGCAACCGCGCGGAGGTAACCTCCAAACCGGTGAGGCTTTTCAGCATGGCCACTTCGTACTTGGACAGCCATTCATTCTGAGGCGCATCTTGTCCTTGGAACATGCTGGCCAAAGCAAAAACATAGGCCACCCGGAGCTTCTTGTGAACGTGATCCGTGGACGGATCTGCTCTTGGAATTTCCTTTCGTTTGACTGAGATTGGAACATCATCGAGGAGATGTCTGCGCCGAACTTCAATGTTCTGCAGCTCCTCATCCAATACCTGCGGTGGCTCCGCTTGAGTGTCATCCAAAGGAGTGGTTGGTACTGGAGAAACATCATCAGGTTGATGATCAGGTTCAGGTGGGGCTAAAGCTCTGGCGGCCACACCTGGCAATTGCAACCTCTCTCTCGGAGCTTCTGGAGGAGGTAATGCCATAGGGCGCTGCCCGTCGGCGATCATCTTCCGTCGTTTGGTTGAATTCTGTCTTGTTGGAGGCAGCACACTCAAAAGGCGCTTGGCACTTCGAAGCCCTCGCATCATAGCTTGCCCTTGTGCTCTTAAGAGTTGTCTGGAAGCAGACATGCGAGGTGGTGGAGGCTTTGGCGGCGCAGCCGCATTGGAGTCATCTTCAAAGCCTTTGGTGCCTTCGGGGTCCTTAAGGATCCGTGCCAATTCCTTGAGGTCTTGTTCGGGCATCGGTGATTGGAGGGCTAGCTCCTCACCTGTGGCCAACCGCATGTTCTCCTCGGCTAGGAGTAAACACCGTCCTCGCCAGGACACGAAGTAGCGGGTTTGGCCTTCTCGAACAAGAACTGTAGCCGGCCCACGCCACAGGCCACTTGCATAGCGGCGTTGCCCCTTTTGGGGAATCCAGTAGTAGATCTGGGTTCCTGGAATGAAAGGCTCTGTAGACTTCTTCGGCCTACGCAAGATGGCCCGCCGGAGTTTGTCTTGCACATCTGTTCGCAGCAGGGCCAGGCGGGCTGAATGGCGAAGTCGATGTGCCCGTGCGACATCGCCCTCAGTACCGATGGACTCGGCAAAACCCAGTCTTTCTTCCTCGTCCGTCAGGCCCGGGAAGCGGACCTCTTGGCCGTACAGCCTCTGGTTTGGCGTGTAGCCGTCGCGGCTGACGGTCTGGTTCTTAGCTGCTATGGCTGCGGCCAGAGCCTGTTTCATATGAGCGAAGCCTTTACCTGATGTTCCAAAATTATGGCTTCCATGATGATTCCCAATAATCCACCATGGCGCTCGGCGAGCGAATGTTGCCAGGCAGCTTGTGTGGCCGTCACCGTGCTGGGTATGCTATAATTTTCCAAAAGAGCAGTAAAACCACTCTCAAACTCGCCTCCCTGGTCCAACCGGATCTTGGCTGGAGCTCCAAAGATGCACAGCCAGTGTTTGTGCCACTTGTCAGCACAGTATTCCGAGCGACGAGTCTTGAGGAGAACTGCTTGATGGAAAAGAGTTCCAGCGTCCAGCATGGACAATGCCACATAGAGCTTCCGTCGGGAATCTCGGAAGTACTTCAGGTCCACCAAGTGGTGCCGATTGAAACCATAAGGACGAAGGCCAGGAGCCGCAGCGGTTGGATGTTTAGGAGGTGCTCGACTAGCACAAACATCACATCGCCAAAGCTTTGCGTGCTCGACGGCACCGTCCGTGGCTCCCGCAAGACGCAGCATGCGAACCAAAGTGTTTCTTGAAGGATGCCCAAGTTGTCTGTGGGCTTGTTCCACGGCTTTGCGAACTTCAGGTGCAACCTGAAATCTTCGGTGGTCCGGCGCAGCCGGTGGTGGATCCTTCTGTGCATGCCGTTCAGCGTATTGCTGGGCCGCTGATTCCGGATCCTCGACTGCCTCATCGAGTAAATCCTCTATGTCCTTTTCCTGCTTGTCCTCCGGAAGCATCCGGGGTTCTTGGAATTCTGGATTTGTATCTGGCTCTTCTTCTTCTTCCTCCGCTCGTTCTTGTACTTCTTCTCCATCCATCATCAATTCCTCCGCCATGACCTCATTGTGGTAATAGGTCGCATTTCGAGAGTCTGATTGGAGGTAGAGCTCCGCTCCTCGGATGATGGATTCACATAGAGGAAGGGAATAGCCCCCACACCATTCGGACAGTTTGACTGTCCTGCCGCCCACGCGCACATTGCCTTGAATGACCTCATGGTCGTGGTCTCCGGAGCAGCGGGTGTGGAGGTAGGTAAGCACCTCTTCTTGGCCCATCCATCTGGTGGCCTTCTGAATCGGCGTACCATTCTCTGGATGCTTGAGACCATACATACATTGGTCCATCACCGCTTGTGGCAGTCCTTCAAAGGCATCGATGATCTCTGGCTGCTTCCAGGCTTTTGAAGGGTGCGGATTCTCACCAAGGACTGCCTTTCGGCGTGCCCGTTGCTTGAGCACAGCACGTCGTGTGAAGGACAGGAAAGTCTTGCGCTCATTCAGTTGTCCCGCCGCCAGAGCTTGACGTTGGGCCTCGGTTTTGATGTTCATGTTCTGCATGGGACTGCACCGGGTGCACGGCCAAGCGATGACCAGCAAATCCGGATCACATCGATCCACGTAGTCCAAGGCCGCCTTGATGTCAGATTGCTGGCGCAGATCCCAGTTGGGAATGGTGATGGGTTCACAAAACTCCCATCCCCAGGAATCGGCCAAGCGGCTCAGCAAACAAGTCCAGGTAAAGACCTCCAGGATCTTCCAGCCGGTACGGCGCTTCAGAGGTCGGGGAACCTTCACCTCTTGGGCCATATGGAACTTTTTCGACATCTCAACTTCCAAAAGTGGTCCGAAGCTGAGGTGTTTTGTACATTTTGACTTGGAAATGTGCTTCGCGCCACAACGGCGTGCACTTTTTCGACATCGCAACTTCCAAAAGTCGTCCGACGCTGAGGTGTTTTGTACCTTTTGACTTGGAAATGTGCTTCGCGCCACAACGGCGTGCAATTTTTCATCGCTCCTGTGACCAGCTGGCTCCGCACCCGCCGCTTTAGCGAGCCTACTTTTCGACCCTCCTGAGCCACAAATCATTGGAAAAACACAGTGTTTCGCGACTTTCCTACCTTTTCGCGCATCTGTATCTTCTTTCTTCTGACTCTTTCTCTTCTCATCTTCTCTCTTCTAATCTTCCTCTTCTCTCTGCCTCTCCCCTACTCTGCTTTTCATCTGTCCATATTGTCGGAAGTTTGACTTCTAAACTTCCTTCGACTAATTGCTTGTCCTAGCGATGTGTTTTATGACCCGTGTTGGAAAAAAATACTGACTCACCAGTGCGTTAAAGTTGCACCACCGATGCTAAAGATAGACCGATGGCAAGTCACATTCAGTACTGTTCAAACACCAAAGGGCAATTTATTTTACCAGTGCGAAATTAACAGTAGAAAAGCGGGCGGCAGCAATGTTGCCGGCCATTTGTTTTCCAGCCCACTTTGGAATCTGGCTGCTATATATATATATTATATAATATCGTAAAACGGACCTCCAGTTTTAGCCAAGGACTGCTAGCAGAGAAGGACTTCATCAGAGATCAGAAACCGACTTTGATGGCAGACCTATTGCTTCTTGCAAGTGAGGCCAGTGCTTGCGGGGCATTCAAGTTGAAAATTATGGACTCTCTAAAAGTCTGATTCAGCAACGCTTGTGTTTCCTTTGGGTGGGGGGTCGATTGTGTTTTGCTCAATTTGGTTGTGTAGTGCTGTGGTTGGCAGTTGTTGTGCTCGCAAGTTTTTGCTGGTGTTGCTGCAGCCAGACATGGTCAGCCCAGTTTACAAAAGGATGCAAGCCAGAGTGCAAACCATTCCGAATATTTCCGAATGACTTACTAGCAACGCCTGGTAAAAACTTGAAACCGTCCCTTATGTGGAGGTTTATATAGACATGTGTCGACCACTGTATTGATGGGAGTCTCGATGGGTATATTTATGGCAGCGGTGCAAGCCGCGGGTGATGTTGGTGTTGTCGGTGCGGTGGAACTCAGGATGCCATTGCTTCTTGCAGACCTTCTCTCACACATGATGCTGACTTCCTGTCCCGGGTTGCAGCAAGATCAGCCAATCTCTTGGCCAAGTTGTTGTCGTCAATAAATCCTCCAGAAACCAGCCCCGAGCAACCTGGGAGTGTGCCGAAACGGAGGAGGATCCGACGCGAAAGGCAAAGGACATTGTGGGGGGATCCTGTGTTTGGACGCCAACTGGATGGGTTTCCCAACTCTGGGCATGATGACTTGCCAACTTGGAGCAAAAGGGCTTCGACCGTGGAAGAGCCTAGGCTTCCGTGATGCTGCAGTGATGCTATGGGGGTTCAAGCATGTGGGGGACAACAGAGGCATTGGGGAAGCGTGGCATCAATGCTTCAGAGCTGCTGAAGCCAAAAAAGAGTTCGCAAGTGGGCTAGCGGCTAGCGTAGCACCAGGGGTGTGAAAGGTGGCATAGCAGAAGAGAGTTTGAAGGACAAACTGAAAGCTTAGGACATTAAAAAAAATGGGTGCCCGAAGAATCTTTCTACTTTCGAATGTTGCCGTTTTGCGGTTCTGTATTCAAGTTTGCTGGTGTCATGGTCAGTTGGGCAGGTGCTGATTAGTTCTAGATTCCAGAGCTGGAACGAGCTTTGATGGCTGGTTGGATCGGGGGATAGTGAAGCAGTTGGGATGTTGCTGTGGTCTTGCTTTGGTTCCCGGTTCCCTTGAAGCCTCTTTTTGAAACACCAAATTCATCCAAATTCAATTGTCATGGCATGTCATGGCTTATCGACATCGAATCGCTAGCCGGTTGTCCTGCTAGACTTTGTTTAAGCGAGGTTTCTGCGCAGAGTCCATCAAATTTATTTGTCATGGCTTTGGCAAAAGTCGTCTTGGACTTTGTTTAGGAGGCTTTTGGGCAGAGTCCGCCCAAGGGTCCCAGTGGACGAAAACTGATGTTGCAATATGTTGCAATGTGCCCTGAGCAAACATGTGACTTGTTTAGTCCTGATCCTTGCTGTGCTGTTTTCTTTCAGGCAACGGCGGTGTTTGATTATCACTTTTGGCTCAAGAACGTTGACGCAACAGGGGTCAAAGTGCACTAGTCACTACTGTAGCAGGTGAAAATCATTTTCTGGGACTCTTTCAACGATTTTTATGAATTTGTCTTGTGAGCCCGAAGCGATTCAAATCATTGGATAGATTTGGATAGCCGATAGCCGCTGGGCCTTCAACAAGATGAATGCCAGCGATTGCACATGCTGGCTGAAAAGGGGCCACTCGTTTTCCCCTCAAAATCCTCAAAGGACATCATTGCGTTTGCCCCCCATGCTGGTAACCTGACAGGATGTGATAGGTCTGATAGGTACGATTAATACGATTATATATAACGTCGGATTTTCCTTCGACAGTCGCGCCACGCGGCTCATCATTTTGTTGATTGGGGCCGGCTCTCCATGCTGAGTAAAGGCCAGCAAGAGTTCTCCTTATACCGTGTTGGAACTACCCAACTCTTTTGCAACAGAACCTGGCCAAACTGAGCCTGAGGAACCTTTGTTATCTTTGTTCCAGTAGTTCTCAGTAGTTTTTGAACTGAGATGAATTGATCATGGTTTTGCTGCCGCATCGCCTCCTTTTGAAAAGCTCGGGGTCTCCAAAATCATATGTCAGCAGCGAAACAATTGGATCGATTCAGCGAATATGTGGCTCAAAAGCATGGAAACAATAGGATTACGTGCAGTCATCTTCTCAGTTGTGTTGCCAGTGCTTTTGACATCTTTTGACCTTCCACACCCAACCATGCTCAAGCAAAAGGTGCTCTTGTATGATTCATATCACCCAACAGTGACTAGTTTTTGCTTGCTGCAATGCTGGTAGAAGAGGTTGCGACCAGCCTTCCGGCGGCAAAACTAGCAGCTGTCACGCGCAATCCTTGCACTGGTGCTATCTATGGGGTCCCGTGGTTGAATCCTGTGTGACACCTTGAACAGAGAGGGTTTTGGCACCAAATTTGATGTTCAAACTCTCACTTTTGGGTTCTCGTCATTTTTCGGCATTTGTCATTTTTTGGTGTCCCTTCAGCTGACTTCTTGGCATTCCGCGGTGCCTTTCCCCAAGGAAGGTGGTGTATCGGCAAGGCCTGACAGATGAGGCTGTTCAGATTAAAGCTTGGCTTTTGCGGCTAAGCGAGACTGAACAAGGAAACTTCTACTGGGATGCAGCTTGGCAAGAGGTCACATGGCTGACCGCAAGCATTTGGTTTGCATCAGAAACTAAACATTCAAAAGAGTCTGCTGTCATCAGTTGCCCCTGGAAGTCAGAATAGGTTGGGATCCGAAGCCGATCGAAGCCGACCAAGGATTTCGTGTCAGTCTGCGGGTCCTGTAAAGAGATGCTAAGCAGCGTTGTCCAGTATGTCAAGGCCGGAAAGGAGCTGGCAAGTGCTTTCAGTTTGAGTGTCGCGAAACTTCCCTTCGGTCTGGATGCGGAGAGTTGCCGGTGGCGCGGCCGACGTATTGCGGCAGTCATCCCTTGTTTGGTGGCTACCGGGCTACCGGCTCCCAGATGCCATGGTGGGAGATGTGGGCCCGGCGCAGATGACCGCTTTGACATTTCCATGGTGCCCACACGGCGCTGCAACGAGGTATTTGTCTTTCCAGGCTAAAGAGAAGATCAGGACGGAGGTGGTTTGCTGCTCGGTAGACAAGTCTTGGAGGCGAGGGAACGGGCGCAGCAGCGCAGCAGGTGGATGTGTTGTGAAGTGATGGAAACTGATGGAAATTCGATGAAACGAGTGGCCCGCTATAGATTCATGGCTGGTGATTTTGTTTATCTTTGACTCTCTTGGATGGGGATGTTTTGTTCCTAGCGGTTCTTTCAGTCTCAAACTGTCTCAAGAACTTATTTTCTCGCTGTTCCAGGATCCCTCTACTCTTATCATGGATTTTTCTTGAGGGGACGGCCTTTTTTATTACATACCCTCTGGTAAACTAACATAACTATGGACAATCACATTTCTTTATGGGTAAATCATCCCTCCTACCTTAATGAAATTATTTCAAGGGGGGGGTTACCCTCCAAAATAATTTTTTGAAAATAATTTCAAAAATCTAACATGTTGGATGTATAGATTTATAGACTCTAACCATTGCCAAAATAATTTCTGGTTGGAAATTATTTTGATGGGTTACCCCCCCCCTCAAAATAATTTTGACGAAAACACTCTCACAGCAAAAAAATTATTTCAAAATAATTTTGGTGTTTGACCTTGTTTTGATCCGATGACATATTCCACCTTTGGTCGTACACTCAAGTTTCTGCAGGCTGTGTTCACACAGCACTTCTTCGCAGTGATGGCAGTGTTGTAACTTTCGGAGGAAACGATGTAGAACAATGCGATATCCCATCTTGCGCAATGTTGGGCTTGCAAAAGTGGCTTATTATGTTTTAGGTTTTTTGTTTTTTTAGGATTGATGCGTTGCGAATCCTACAACGCAAATAAATTCAACATCATGTTTCATGTGTGCTCCCTGGTAGTCATGTCAGAATCCCCCCTCAATCTTAAGTTGCAGCAAGAACGCATCAAAACTTGCAACTCGAAACCAAACTCGTTCTTTAAGAAATTATTCAAAGGATCTTGGAGATGCCCTGCATTCCTCAAAAATCAATGTGGGAAGCTGCCAGAACCATCCAACTCGCCCATATACTGGAAACAAATGAAAAACCTATCAAAACCGAACGCTTCCCAAAAAAGAGTTCGTTGGAGGGAAATAAAGGGAATATTGGAGAAAAATGGGAAATATGACAGGTTAGGAAAATCACTACAGGAAAGGGCCAGGTTGAATACTATTTTGTGGTATTTCCCACGGGGAAAAATTATTTTAGGGGTATTGGAGATACCCTGCACTCCTCAAAAACCAAAGTGAGCAGCTGCCAGAACCATCCAACTCGCCCAGAAACTGGAAAAACATGAAAAACCTATCAAAACCGAACGCTTCCCCAAAAAAAGTTCTTTGGAGGGAAATGAAGGAAATATGGGAGAAAGAGGGAAAAACATGAAAGGCTAGAAAAACCACTATAGCAAAGAGCTAAGTTGAATACCATTTTGTGCGATTTCCCAAGAGGAGAAATTATTCTAGGGGTATTGGAGATGCCTTGCACTTCCCAAAATTCAAAGTGAGCAGCTGCCAGAACCATCCAACTCGCCCATAAACTGGAAACAATTGAACAATCTATAAAATCCGAACGCTTCCCAAAAAAGAGTTCTTTGGAGGGAAATGAAGGGAATATGGGAGAAATAAGAGGAAATATGACAGGTTAGGAAAATCACTACAGGAAAGGAATACTATTTTGTGGGATTTCCCAAGCGGAGAAACTATTTTAGGGGTATTGGAGATACCCTGCACTCCTCAAAAATCAAAGTGAGCAGCTGCCAGAACCATCAAACTCGTCCATATACTGGAAACAAATGAAAAACCTATCAAAACCGAACGCTTCCCAAAAAAGAGTTCGTTGGAGGGAAATGAAGGGAATATGGGAGAAATAATGGGAAATATGACAGGTTAGGAAAATCACTACAGGAAAGGGCCAGGTTGAATACTATTCTGTGGGATTTCCCAAGAGAAGAAATTATTCTAGGGGTAGTGGAGATATCCTGCCCTTCCCAAAAATCAAAGTGAGCAGCTGCCAGAACCATCCAACTCGCCCAGAAACTGGAAAAAAAATGAAAAACCTATCAAAACCGAACGCTTCCCAAAAATGAGTTCTTTGGAGGGAAATGAAGGGAATATGGGAGAAATAATGGGAAATATGACAGGTTAGGAAAATCACTACAGTGTCACTACAGGAAAGGGCCAGGTTGAATACCATTCCGTGGGATTTCCCAAGGGAAGAAATTATTCTAGGGGTATTGGAGATACTCTGCACTCCTCAAAAATCAAAGTGAGCAGCTGCCAGCTGAAAAAAAAAATAAACACCGAATGCTTTCCCTTTCACAGTCATTCCCACCGAGTGTTCTTTGGAAGGAAATGAAGGGAATGTGAGAGAAATGTGGGGAAGTATGAAAAAAATGGAAATATGTAGGAAAGAACCCAGTGATGAAGATGATGGTTGAACATTTTTTTTGCGGGAATCCCCAAGTGTTTTTTTTAAATCTTTTTTTGTTCAACCATTTAAAATTTAGATGAAGTTATGTCAAAACATAGTTATTCCAGGGTATATTTGAAGGCTTAGATTATAATTCGCATATTCCAATATGCACATCCGTAGGCCCACTGCTTAGGAAAATTATTCAACAACATGTTTTCTTTAAACATATTCCAAAACCTGGTTGATACCCCCGCGTTTTTCTTGAAGGGATGGAATATCCCCGGTACACCTGCGAAGGCGATCATGTCGGGTAGGGGGGGGGTCCCAAAGTATACATATGTAAAGATTGGAGTCTCCGGAGGGGGGCAAAATAATTAACTCCCCAGGGGTTGAAATAATTTTTACGAAGGTTCACCACCGTCGATGAAGGGGAGGGGGGGGTCTATCGTAAGAAATTATTTTACCCTAAAGAGGGTTGTTTCGTATAACAACCGAAGACACTATCAACCCCCTGAAAATAATTTTGGAAATTATTTTGAGGAGGGGGGGAGGGGGGGGGTAGTTTAGGTAGGGTAGATGGTAAATCAACTATAAATGGTCCATTTTCAATAGCTATGTTAGTTTACCAGAGGGTAATTTTTTTTTGTGTTTTCCCCCTCATGGCCATCCACCATTGTACCATAGGCACCCCAACATCGCCAGGTTTGATTGCCCCCCTGGATCCAGCAATCTCAATTGAGCAATGCAGTGTACATGATATAACGCTCAACGCCCCAGTGGCTTGATTTTTTTCAGAGATGGTCGTCTCCAACCAGCCCCGGGACCCTGAAAAATACCAATCAATGAAGCCACCGCGGTCCCAGATCCGGTGTATGAAGCTGTACCAGACCGCGCCGTGGACGGCTGACGTGGAATTGAGCTCAGTGGCTGCTGCGTTGTGGCAGCTACTTGGATGGAGAGCGGGAGGTGCTATGGATGACAGAGATGAAGATGTGGAGAGGATACCAAAAAAGTGATACATTCAGCAATTTGCATTGTTATTTTTCAAGCCTAGATGGCCTATACCTTCAGACTCCAGCCAAGGACCTGGAACGACAAATCCTGGCAAACGGTGGCTGAAATAGCCAAGCCGCCACTGCCACTTGGCCCACTTAAAGCACCGTTCCTGACCATTTTTCTCTTAGAGAAACCACGGCAACGTAGAACTTTGCATTGATTTTCCATGAATTTCCATGGTTTTCCATGATTTTCCTCTATTTTAAGGTATTAGTGTATTAGTGTTCTATCTTGTTCGGGATTGCTGTACCGCAACTTTTTGGTTGATGGGGTCAACTGCAATTTGATCGCCATCGCCCCAAGTGACTTTGATCAGCTCCAGCAGCCAGACGTGCAACTCCTGAGGGTCTGAAACCAGGGGATCCCCAAAGCCACTGGTGATCGTTTTCTTCATTGAACTTGCAACTTGGGGGCCTAGACAAAGCAAAGCCACTTGAAGATTTTTGTTGACCATGGTCCATCTGAATCAACCCACACCCCCGCGTTGGCAACGCCTCTTCCATTGAGACATGTTCGGGCTCAAGCCGCGAAAGGCTGCTGAGGCCGCCTCACTTTCCCGCGTCGGCATTTTGCCATGGCACATCAGGATCTCCCATTTGTGGCCTCCGCCACGGCGTTAGTGTTCGTCGCCATGATGTGGGCTTTGTCTCTATGTATTTCCCACCGCGATGCTCAGCAAAACACAAGGGGTGGGCGGTTAAGTAGCCATAGTGATTGCAAGTCGCCCAAGTAATTCCCATCATTTGCTCGCCATAAGTTTGACCCTCGTGGGACAACATATGTATGACAAATAAAGGCAAGAAATAGGTGGATCCAATTATATCATATTATATCCAATTATGCTCATATACATACGTACTTACATACCCTGACCCTGACCTTCCAAATTATTGTTTAACTGGCATTTTTATAAAGTGCTCGTTTCCCAAGGTCTCTTCACAAAGTAGTTTCACCGGTTGATCATGCCTCCACTCCCTGTGCTTCATTAAATGGCTAGGGCTTAAAATGTTCACAATTGACCACCTAGGAAAAATACTATGAGTCAACATATCAAACCACGCCACAATGCAAAATGGTGTCAGCCACACAAGTGTGAAAAGTACACGAAAACCCGTGATTTTGGCGCGAAAGTGAGTGGAAAGCCCATTTTGGGATCACTTGGAACGCGTGAAAATTGTGAAAATTTGCAAGATTCCCAATGCAACTCGCAGCTCATCCGTAATTGAAAGTGTGGTTGAAGTGTCTGTTGCGTAAAGCCACCTGCTGAAGCGGAACGGAAGGATACCGCTAGGTTCTTGATGCTTATCCATAGAACCATGAAGTACTTGTAATTATATATTTGATATTATTTGTGTCAAAGTCGAAATGGCACTTTGCAGTCAGTACGTAACCCAGGCACTTTGCTTGAACACGTTTGTTTCCAAGGCACTATGGAAGATCAGAGATGCATGCATGCATCCATCCATCCATACAGACGTATGTGCTGCCACGTACGTATATTCATATTTTATATGATTTTATGAGAGAGAGAGAGGGAGAGACAGAGAGAGAGAGAGAGAGCGTGTTTTTACGGACCACACCCTAGCTCATCCCCTTAACTGCAGGGGTGGGGGGTATGGAACCCGGGTCTGATGCAGGAGGGATGCGTCTTATCCACTAGACCATACCGGCCCTCTTATATGATTTTATGATATGATTGCGGAGAGATTGAAGGGCTGGTAGCTACCCAAAGGTCAACGTATCAACGGCAGCAGCCGGCAGCAAAACCCTTTTTATGCGAAGTGCAAAAGCTGACGTGGCCACGTCTTGAGCCATGACCAAGCGAGCAGCACAGTCAAGCATGTACACATGCAACATGCACTACAACCCACCAATCCTAGGTTTTCACATCCAAGGAAGGTAGTGTTGACTGTGCTTCGAATTCAAAAGTTGCGCATTGGCAACCGAGATCGACTGGACGCAGCCAGGATAGATTTGCCGGACGCAGCCGGGCTATTAGCTTCGAGTCCCTTCATGCGGTCCTTGCGGCGCTGCCGCTGGGCTTTTCGTAGACCGCGACGTCTTTCTTCTTCCTTTGCCTCTTCTGCGGTTTCTTTCAGGCTGATACGTCCACTTCTCATGAACTCAGCCCAGAGCACCGGCGCCATCATCTTTGTCAGGAAGTCGGCAAATTGCCGATATGTAGGGACCCATCGCATCAATACCACGTTGTTTTCCACCAAATCCTTGCAAACGAGGAGATCCAAAAGCGTTTGACGCTCTGTAGGGATCTGGCCTGTAGTCACCAGATGATCAAAAAGGCTCTTTGCGTCAGTGATCACACTTCCAGGAATTTTCAAATGCTGACGCCATGTCGGGGCAATCTCTTGAACTCCAGTGAGCAACATCTGTAAGATAAGTCGAAGGTAGAGATGCCTGTCAGCCGCAGTACAAAGTGAAAGGGCTTCTGCCGACATTGAAGATCGTACCACTCTTGTGGACTTGTTTGTAGTGAAATCCACCACACTTGCAGGAGCAGGGCCCTGAGATGCCTTTGCAGATCCAACGAAGTGGATTGATCCAAGTTGAGAGCGTCCTTGCTCCTCTTTTCCAAGACTGGCATCGAAGAAAGTGAAGACCGCCAGCTCCTTCTCTGGGATGTGCCTGTACCAAAGGCGACCATGTCCCCGGTGGACTTCCTCCTTCATGAGGTTCAGGACCTTGATGGCTTCGTTGAAAGTGGCGATAGTGCCGTGGTTAATGGACTGCGCCAGGCGTGACACCAAATACAGAATCTGCGGCATGGTGTGTTGTGCTGGCCATCTCATTTTCATAACCAACCTCCTCAAAGTTGTCACCTGCTCGGGAGACAGAGGAGTTTCCGGCTTCCCCTTCGGAGCGTCCGGGGGTTCTATCCCTTGGACATACTTGTCCATACGATCGGTGAAACCGTCCTTCTCCTTGTGGAGTTCGACTCCCAGGAAATTCAAAGGTTTTCCTTCTTCGAGGAATTGCCATTCCTTGATGTTAAAACGCTGGTTGATCTTCTCCCGAAGCTTAACAAATTTCTCATCCTTGTCATCCCCAACTAGAAGGCCATCATCGACATGAAGGGCGCAGATGGCCCAAGTCTTACCCTTGTCGGAGGCAAGGAAAACACTTCTGGACGCAGCCAGTTCTTTCAGCTCTACCTCATCCATGCCATCCTTGGCCTCCAAGTACCACAAACGTGGACTTTCAGTCAGCCCATAGGCGCTCTTGAGTACTTGCATCAATTCCAGAGGCCGGATAGCTCGATGTTCACCCACCCGGGGTAGACCGGTGGTGGGAGCTCGGACATAGATCTCTCTTTCTGTGGCTTTCCCACTGAGAAAAGCGGTTGAAACATCAAAACTGTATATCTGGTAGCCTCTGGACGCAGCCAGAAGTTTGATCAACCTTGTGGTCATAGTGGCTGCAGTTGGAGAGTCTGTTCGGTATGTTCCGATTTCTGGGTCGAGGTGGCCTGGAATAATGAGTCTGGATTTCGCCACCAAAGGTGCCAATTTCTCTGCAGCTTTGTTGACTCTCACGATGCGCATGGGAGCTCGAAAGATCTTAGATCTTGGGACCCGGGCTGCTTCGTCCGGCTGAAGGAATCGCACCACTTTGTTGGCCAACCATTGCGACCATTCCTTTTGGTCAGCCCTTTCAAAGGCTTCCTGTTCCTCGGAGTTGAAGAACTTGGGATCTAGTTCCTTCTTGTTCTCCTTCAGTCGCAAGACCAGTGCATCAGCGACCAGTAGATCTCGGATTTCCTCACACCACAGGGTATGAAATTCTGCAGCTTCTTCCGGGTGCATCTTCGCCTCAATGAGGCCCCCAGGAAGTTCAACGTAGACCCGATGTGACTTGTGGTTCTTTTCACGGTGAAAGATGGTCAAACCAGTCCAGAGGAAAGGTGCCTTCTTCTTTGGATGCATGGTGACCTCCTGCGCATTCTCCTCTACCACGAGGGTCACAGAAGGGTCTTGCCCAATCAGCACGCTTGTTCGTGCTCGGTTTCGAGCTTTCGTGGGTACTTGCATTCTCTTCCTTGGAGCACGGTGCAACCGCGCGGAGGTAACCTCCAAACCGGTGAGGCTTTTCAGCATGGCCACTTCGTACTTGGACAGCCATTCATTCTGAGGCGCATCTTGTCCTTGGAACATGCTGGCCAAAGCAAAAACATAGGCCACCCGGAGCTTCTTGTGAACGTGATCCGTGGACGGATCTGCTCTTGGAATTTCCTTTCGTTTGACTGAGATTGGAACATCATCGAGGAGATGTCTGCGCCGAACTTCAATGTTCTGCAGCTCCTCATCCAATACCTGCGGTGGCTCCGCTTGAGTGTCATCCAAAGGAGTGGTTGGTACTGGAGAAACATCATCAGGTTGATGATCAGGTTCAGGTGGGGCTAAAGCTCTGGCGGCCACACCTGGCAATTGCAACCTCTCTCTCGGAGCTTCTGGAGGAGGTAATGCCATAGGGCGCTGCCCGTCGGCGATCATCTTCCGTCGTTTGGTTGAATTCTGTCTTGTTGGAGGCAGCACACTCAAAAGGCGCTTGGCACTTCGAAGCCCTCGCATCATAGCTTGCCCTTGTGCTCTTAAGAGTTGTCTGGAAGCAGACATGCGAGGTGGTGGAGGCTTTGGCGGCGCAGCCGCATTGGAGTCATCTTCAAAGCCTTTGGTGCCTTCGGGGTCCTTAAGGATCCGTGCCAATTCCTTGAGGTCTTGTTCGGGCATCGGTGATTGGAGGGCTAGCTCCTCACCTGTGGCCAACCGCATGTTCTCCTCGGCTAGGAGTAAACACCGTCCTCGCCAGGACACGAAGTAGCGGGTTTGGCCTTCTCGAACAAGAACTGTAGCCGGCCCACGCCACAGGCCACTTGCATAGCGGCGTTGCCCCTTTTGGGGAATCCAGTAGTAGATCTGGGTTCCTGGAATGAAAGGCTCTGTAGACTTCTTCGGCCTACGCAAGATGGCCCGCCGGAGTTTGTCTTGCACATCTGTTCGCAGCAGGGCCAGGCGGGCTGAATGGCGAAGTCGATGTGCCCGTGCGACATCGCCCTCAGTACCGATGGACTCGGCAAAACCCAGTCTTTCTTCCTCGTCCGTCAGGCCCGGGAAGCGGACCTCTTGGCCGTACAGCCTCTGGTTTGGCGTGTAGCCGTCGCGGCTGACGGTCTGGTTCTTAGCTGCTATGGCTGCGGCCAGAGCCTGTTTCATATGAGCGAAGCCTTTACCTGATGTTCCAAAATTATGGCTTCCATGATGATTCCCAATAATCCACCATGGCGCTCGGCGAGCGAATGTTGCCAGGCAGCTTGTGTGGCCGTCACCGTGCTGGGTATGCTATAATTTTCCAAAAGAGCAGTAAAACCACTCTCAAACTCGCCTCCCTGGTCCAACCGGATCTTGGCTGGAGCTCCAAAGATGCACAGCCAGTGTTTGTGCCACTTGTCAGCACAGTATTCCGAGCGACGAGTCTTGAGGAGAACTGCTTGATGGAAAAGAGTTCCAGCGTCCAGCATGGACAATGCCACATAGAGCTTCCGTCGGGAATCTCGGAAGTACTTCAGGTCCACCAAGTGGTGCCGATTGAAACCATAAGGACGAAGGCCAGGAGCCGCAGCGGTTGGATGTTTAGGAGGTGCTCGACTAGCACAAACATCACATCGCCAAAGCTTTGCGTGCTCGACGGCACCGTCCGTGGCTCCCGCAAGACGCAGCATGCGAACCAAAGTGTTTCTTGAAGGATGCCCAAGTTGTCTGTGGGCTTGTTCCACGGCTTTGCGAACTTCAGGTGCAACCTGAAATCTTCGGTGGTCCGGCGCAGCCGGTGGTGGATCCTTCTGTGCATGCCGTTCAGCGTATTGCTGGGCCGCTGATTCCGGATCCTCGACTGCCTCATCGAGTAAATCCTCTATGTCCTTTTCCTGCTTGTCCTCCGGAAGCATCCGGGGTTCTTGGAATTCTGGATTTGTATCTGGCTCTTCTTCTTCTTCCTCCGCTCGTTCTTGTACTTCTTCTCCATCCATCATCAATTCCTCCGCCATGACCTCATTGTGGTAATAGGTCGCATTTCGAGAGTCTGATTGGAGGTAGAGCTCCGCTCCTCGGATGATGGATTCACATAGAGGAAGGGAATAGCCCCCACACCATTCGGACAGTTTGACTGTCCTGCCGCCCACGCGCACATTGCCTTGAATGACCTCATGGTCGTGGTCTCCGGAGCAGCGGGTGTGGAGGTAGGTAAGCACCTCTTCTTGGCCCATCCATCTGGTGGCCTTCTGAATCGGCGTACCATTCTCTGGATGCTTGAGACCATACATACATTGGTCCATCACCGCTTGTGGCAGTCCTTCAAAGGCATCGATGATCTCTGGCTGCTTCCAGGCTTTTGAAGGGTGCGGATTCTCACCAAGGACTGCCTTTCGGCGTGCCCGTTGCTTGAGCACAGCACGTCGTGTGAAGGACAGGAAAGTCTTGCGCTCATTCAGTTGTCCCGCCGCCAGAGCTTGACGTTGGGCCTCGGTTTTGATGTTCATGTTCTGCATGGGACTCCACCGGGTGCACGGCCAAGCGATGACCAGCAAATCCGGATCACATCGATCCACGTAGTCCAAGGCCGCCTTGATGTCAGATTGCTGGCGCAGATCCCAGTTGGGAATGGTGATGGGTTCACAAAACTCCCATCCCCAGGAATCGGCCAAGCGGCTCAGCAAACAAGTCCAGGTAAAGACCTCCAGGATCTTCCAGCCGGTACGGCGCTTCAGAGGTCGGGGAACCTTCACCTCTTGGGCCATATGGAATTCCCGCTTGGCCTGTTTCTCGCAATCGAACCCCAGCAAGATCTGATTGGCTGCATTGGTCACCTTGCGTCGTTGGCCCTTGGAGAACGGCTCCTTGTGCGGGGCAAAGACAAACTCCCCATGCCTCTCCTCAAGCTCTTCGTCAGTGGAGCTCCCAGAATCAGTTTCAGCTGGGGCACCCAGCTCATGTGATGTCTCGGAGATTCCACCTGAGATGCTCCCTTCAGAGTCATATGGATCCTCCGGCGCAGCCGCGGATGCAACAAAAGCATCTTTCATCAAGACCTCAGTGACTGATGTTTCATACTCCAACTTCTCTTGCATCAAAGCCAACTGTTCGGGCCCAACATTGGCAGGAGTGAGATCCCACGTCTCTTCTTCTTGCGTCTCAGGAGGCACTTCGGAAGCATCCGGGTGGTCAGATTCTTCAGGGTCAGATTGGTGCCCATCAGGTGAGCCACCTTCCAGGAATGCCATCTGGTGTGGATTCTCTTTCAAGATGTGCTTTTGTTGTTGGAGGTCCGGTGTACCCCACAAAGATGGGTCTGCCTGGTGTGGCTGGATCTCAAGCAGCTGCAACACTGGGTGTCGTGTCACACTCAGGCACATGGGTCGCTGCTCTCCAAAGACAACCATGGTACGGTCGCTGAAGTGCAACTCCACGCTCCACCGGGCCATTTCACTGGGGCCAACGAGGCCAGGGCAGGATGCTGCAGCGCCGTCCACCTCGGAAATCCGAAGCCAAGTAGGTTGGCCATGCGTGAAGCATGGGTACAGGTAAGCCTTCCGGCTGAGGATGGGTGGACCAGCTCCAAAACGAAAGGTCTCCTCTTGGCCAACTTCAAAGAACTGGAGACCCAATCTTCGGATAGCTGCTTGATGCATCTTGTGCCAGGCGCAGCCTGCAACAGATGTTCTGCATCCCGTATCAACAATGACCTCACCTGGTGAAAGTGATGGTCCCATGTTGTAGACCTCTTGAAGATCTTCACCAACCATCATGGCACCGTGATCCATTGAGTAGTACAGCACCCGCTTCAACTTGCAGCGCTTGCAATGAGCCCAGTGAGCACTGTTGTTGGCACCCCACCTCAGATCATCAAAACTGTGGGGACACGCTTCTTGCTCAGCAGTTGGATATTCTGAAGCTTGCGAAGGCTTAACATGGCCGCGCCGACTCAAGGAATTTTCAAAAAGAGTACGGCGGAAAGTAGCCAATTGCTTCTTGCGGACGGCCGCAGGCACGTCCTTCTGTGGTTCCTGCGGCGCAGCCGCGGTTGGTGCAGCAGGGGCAGATGAAGACGAAGCAGTCGCACGGTAGCCACCGGCACGTTGGTTGGCCCTCTTCAACTTGTCAGATGTAGGAGGAGCCCGTTGAACTGACTCCTCAGCAATGGTCTCCTGCTCGGCCTTCAAGGCTTTGTAGAGTTCCCGCTTCTCTGCCTTGTCCATGTGTGGCAGAGCCTGAAGCAGTTCCCCAGGCCGAAGCTTGACCTCCTTGCCAGGTTTCTTCTTGGAGTGTCGCTCCACCTCCTCATCATCATAGTCCAGAGCCTTGAGGACTGTCTTGAGAGCCAACTTGTACTCTGCCTTGCTCGGTGGCTTGTCAGAGCCAGAAGCATTGGAAGTTGGCGGCAAGGCCGGGGGTTCCTCGTCATCTGAGATTGAAGCCATGGAGTTGTCCCCCTCATCAGAGTCGTAATCCTGCAGAAGCTCCCAAGGACTGTGGTCATTTCCAACCATCATAGTCCAATTGACTCGAGTGACCTTGGTCTCAGGTTTCGGCTCCGTCTTGGTGACTTTCGCAGGCGGTTCTTCCACCTTCACCGGCAGGCTTGAGCTGGTTGGAGACGTAGGTTCCTTATGGCCTGGATTCCGGGGTGATGAGAAACTCGGTGAAGTTGGTGAAGAGGGAGGACCTGACTTGAAAGTCACATTCACCTCACTGACGCCGCCGGCTCCCTGGTGTCGTGGATGCAGAGAATCCTCTCCGGCAACAACCTTCGGGCACTCAGGGTCACCTCTCCAATGTCCCTGATTGCCGCAGCTGGAACAGACCGACCGTTTCTTGCGGTCATCCACCTGGCGCCGGTCAGGGCCTCGAACTCGAGCCTTTCCAGACCCTTTTGATCTGTAGCCCCGGGACTGCTTGTTGCCCGATGCTTGAGCTTTGGCACGCCATCCGGCGGCGTATGCCTCGGAGATGTCATGCGTCGTGGCGGATGGGACATCTTCTTCCTCATCGTCGTCGTCATATCCCCAGTCGCCATCCGCCTGCCAGTAGGAATCCTGACCGTAGCCACCATAGTCATCTTGCCAAGAGTCCTGGTAGTCGTCCTCATAGTAGGCCTGCTCGGGTATGCGGCCGGAGGCCACCTCTTCCTCCAAATCTTCGTCATCGGCGTCGCCAGGTTCTTGTTCATCGTCCTCGTAGGCCAGATCATCATCGGCATGATAGACCTGACGGCCGTATCTGGTGGACCCTCGGTACTGGTAGCGACCAGACCTATTGGACCTCTTGTAGCCGGAGCTTCGGCTTGCGGAGGATTCATCATTGGCGCGGGACGCAGCCGGTCGCCGGGATTCTTCCTCATGAACTTTGGCACATCGGAATCGGAGCACTCGCTCTATGTCCTTAGCCTTGTACCTTCCTCCGGCCGAGAAGAAGCAGTCCATACGCTCCTTCTTTGTGAGGCCGGCTCGGGATAGAAGGCGTTGCGCGAAGGCCTTGTCGGAGATCACAGTTTCAGCATCCTCACGAAGATATTCTTGCCTCAGACGTTTGAGGGACGCAATGTACTGAGACATTGGCATTCCTGGTGATCTCCTGAACTGGAGGTATGCCTCTTGCCGTTCTTCGAACCGTTCATCGGCTCTTGATCCGTATGCTTCTTCCAACAGCGAGAGCATCCGCTGCAACCCCCCTTCAGCAGTCATCTCCTCCATTTCCAATTGATTTAGGATCTGTCTTGCATCGCCCTTGCAACTCAAGTAGACGAGCATAGACAATTCCTTGTCCTGGAGCTGGTAGAGGCTGCGTTGGGCTGTAAGCACACGCTTCCAGTCTTTGTATGCTCCCCGTTGTCCAGTGAAGGTTTCAAGCTTCACTTGGTGAAGGGCCGGCTTGGACCGATCGCCAGCCGTGGCCTTCCTCCTCAGCATGTCCTGCAGCTCGTCGGTAGCTGCGACAGAGGATTCAACCGATGGAGCTTTGCTCTGTGTCCGGCGCGGCCGGGACTTGGACCTCGATGGGGACTTCGGCTCCTGCTTAGGCCGTCTTGTTGGAAGAGGCTCCTCTGGAGGATCTTCTTCTCGCTGTTCTTCCTCTTCCTCTTCTTCAGTTTCATAGGTGTAGCTCGAAGAGCTGTTTTCATCATCGTCATCGTCCCCATCATCTCCAGGGTCCCCTCCGGCTCCACTGGTGCGACCAGGGGCAGGTCTTGGCTTGACCGACCGTTTTGGTGCCGGTGCACTTGCCTTCGCTGCCTGGGCGCGGCCAGGAACATTCGGTTGTGAGGCTCCTGATGCAGCCGCTGGAGCTGTCGAACCAGGTTCCGTACTCTGTGCAGGAACTCCGGCCGGTAGTGTGTGATACCAGTTGTATCCATCAGACCAGTACCATCCCATTGACATAGAAGATGTCATTGGATGTGACATGGGCGACGGCGCAGCCGAACCCTTGCCGTACATACCGGATTGAGCCATCATCGGATTGACCATGTTCCATTGGGAGGCCATGGAGCCCGTGCCAGGGTCGCTCGCTGGGCGTGAGCCAGACCCTTTTCCAAAAGGCTGTGTCCGGAAACCTACAGGCCCTTTTCCTTTTCCTTGCATTCCTTGGGGCGGAGCTGCATTTCTCGGCTTCGGCAGAGGCCGAGGCTCCCGCTTTGGGGCTGGTGCCTTGGCAGCTGTCGGGGACGGCGCATCCCTCTCTGCTCTTTCCTCCTCTCGTCTCTCTCGACGTCTCCTATTGTTCTTTTCCCGGCGTGTTGTCCCTTGAGGAGTCTCAGGTACAGGCACCTCTTCCGCCCTCGGTGGTCGGACTGTCTGAGGCGCAGCCTCTGTCGCGACAGTCGGGGACGCAGCCCCTCTTTCGCCCGGCGCAGCCGAGCTTGAGGCATCCCCGGATGCCATGAGCCCGAAGGCTCCGCTACCAATGCGGAGAGATTGAAGGGCTGGTAGCTACCCAAAGGTCAACGTATCAACGGCAGCAGCCGGCAGCAAAACCCTTTTTATGCGAAGTGCAAAAGCTGACGTGGCCACGTCTTGAGCCATGACCAAGCGAGCAGCACAGTCAAGCATGTACACATGCAACATGCACTACAACCCACCAATCCTAGGTTTTCACAATGATAACTCACACACGCACACACACACATATATATATATATATTATATATAATTATATATTTTTGTATTTTTATATTTATATATATATATACACACATATATATATATATACACACATATATATATACACACATATATATATATATACATACGTATATCTATCTATCTATCTGTCTATCTGTCTGTCTGTCTGTCTATCTGTCTATCTGTCTATCTGTCTATCTGTCTATCTGTCTATCTGTCTATCTGTCTATCTGTCTATCTGTCTATCTGTCTATCTGTCTATCTGTCTATCTATCTGTCTATCTATCTATCTATCTGTCTATCTGTCTATCTATCTATCTATCTATCTACCTACCTACCTGCCTGCCTACCTACCTACATATATAAAACTCATTCGTATTATATGCATACAGGATGTATCCACGGTGCCTTTACCCCATCCATTTTTTTCCACGGTGCCACGGTGCAGGCCTGGATCTGTCAGAAAGTCAAGGCGCGTCTTGCGTCGGCGCTTCTCTTCGGCCGGCGCTGCGGCGAGGCGGCCGACGAGGAGCGCAAATACATCGATGAGAAGATCCTGGAGGAGAAGACGGAACTGGCCAGGAAGATCGTTTTTGTGGCTTGGTTGATATATGTTGATGTACTTTATAGAATTTTATACACATATATCATATTAGTATATGTATATATAGATAGAGATGTATGTTACATGTATGTGGATGTTTTTGAGTGTACATGCATTTGTATTTGTAGAATTATTAAGTTGTGTATCTATGCCTTTATGTGTGTGTGGGTCAAGCGTGCAGTTGCATATGTATAAATGTATGTCTACTATTTATGTATTGATTGTATTACTTGCAATGAATTAATTACACTATTCACTTACTCATGTATTTATTTGTGTATTCATTTACTCATCTATTTACTGATTTAGCGTATAGATCAAGAACCATACCCTAAAATTAGGCTTACTATGGACATTACTGTAGAAAGATTCAAATTTCAAGAAATTGACATTTTCGTGGATGGCCCTCGTGCTGTGCGAGGAACCCAGGATATCCCCAGCTGAAAACTGTCAGGTCCTCTTGTACTTTGGCGTTGGGAATTTGATGAATATTCTCTACAACATATTGATGGAGCGCCCCTTGTGGCTGTCAAGCAGCGGATGTTGGATTGTGGTGATAGCAGTGTTGCTGATGCTGCTAGCACAGGCTGGGCGAAGCCGTTGAAAAACCATGATCCAACTGAGCATTTTTTGCCGCGGGCTAAGAGTAAAACCATGGTCTTTCTCTACTTTTTCCTGAGCACAATCCATTGAAGCGTCATGTTTGGTGATCAAATCATCTAAAATAATCTCAAATCCTCATTCTGAGTGGTTACATTAAATAGAAAGCATTAAGGTCATCCACGTCAAGATGACGTGTCTAAATTTTCCCACGAATGTGGCGGTTCCAATTCCAAAGGCCGGTTTGCCGCCAGGTCCCCGGGATGCTCTCCACGCGTACGGTGGACCTGTGGTCCGCGATTCTGCAGCTCATTGTTCTGGCGTTTCTGTCGGAGTTGGCCACATCAGCGCATGAGACCCTGATGTTGGGCTCAGGCTGGAACTTGAGTTGCGAAACTTGGATGCTGGAAACATAGTGAAAAATATGAAGAAATAACCTACAATAAGGTGGTTATTGTATGCTATTGTTACGTGGTAAAAATGTGTGAATCATAGTGAATCATATTGAATCAGAATGATAAGCTGGTTTGATATACCATGGTCCCTTCCATGTGGCCATTGGATGCAGCCTGCGCTTTGAGTTCAGCGGGACGATTGTGGCCAGTTCTGTTTCCAATGACCAGCTACAACTTCAGGCGTCAAGATGTTATAGTAGAGTCTATTATAGAGATTTACGGTTATGGAGTTTATAGAGTCCATTATAATAAAGCAAGGTACAGTGCACGGCATAGAGATTTATAGGATGTGCTAGCTAGAGTCGAAGTATGTCGAAGTCTTCCTAAGCCATTTCAACAAAACTCGTCGACTTGAAAAACCGTGCGAATGCTCGAGGCCTTTTCGTAACGGTTTGCGTTCCAGCAGCGGCCTTCGCAAACCGGAGAAATGTGCTTCTATTCTGTCACAACGGCCGGAGCTTTCAACCGTTTTGTTTTTGGGTCCATCCCAACAATTTGAATGATGATCCCGACTGGTACAACATCATACGTATTAAAGGATGGTTCAGCCATGCAACCAAACATGTTAAACGTTGTTTTCTCGCCAATTGTAATTTCCTAGTTTTTTTTTGGGTCAGCTCAACGACAATAGAAAAATATAAGGTCAATTATCCTTCCTCCTGCACGCACTGGTGCGAGCTTTCCGAGACTTTGAGGAGTTCCAAAGGGCAACAGAATGCATCTTGCTGCGTAAAGCCTGGTTGAACCCTTGGTTTTTAACCACCAAGAACTGGTTGAAAGTTCCGGGTGTTCAGTACTTCAGTCGATGAGGATGTAAGCAACCAGATGGGCATGACGGGTGCTGGGCAAACCACTTTCTTCGGAAAGTTGTCCAAGGGCTGGTGACATTTTGGTCACAGATTGGTTACACACACACACACACAAACACACACACACCTATACATATACAGATACATACACATATACAAACGCACATACCCACATACCCACATACCCACATACGCACATACACATACGCACATACACACATACATACATACATACATACATACATACATACATACATACATACATACATACATACATACATACATACATACATACATGCGTACATGCGTGCATACATACATACATACATGCATGCATGCATGCATCCATACATACATACATACATACATACATAGAAACACGCATACACATACAGACATACATACATGCGTACATGCGTACATGCGTGCATACATACATACATACATACATGCATGCATGCATGCATGCATACATACATACATACATACATACATACATACACACATACACATCCACACATGCCACTCACCTCAACATGTCGTTTCGTGCGGGGTATCCAATTCAAGCATACTATTGGTCATGCTGGGAAACGCAGGATTTTTCATGAACCCTTCCAGAGCTGAAGCACTTTCCATGATGCCATGGCGGCCACCAGGCAATGCCCTCAACGGTGCACAAACCTTTGTCATGGCGCATTTGATATTTCTGCCCTTGGCATTAACCGTGTCGATGTGGGCACATCAGTTGATGGAGCACCGAGTGGAGTCGCGCTTCAGGACCTGCAGTTTGGGCTGATCCTAAGCCCGCCCGAAACAAGTCTTTATAGAATTCAACAGAACATTCTTTAAAACGTAGGGACTTTTTTGGGATTTTATAGGAATACGAATACAATTGAAAATGGGGAACTGGTGATTCTTTCTTTCTCGGCCGTAGACGACGAAGCGTGCAGGGAAAGCAAGAGCCAGACCCAGCTGAGTGCTGCATCTGCATTGCTGGATCTGACCTGTGCGACCTGGATGGAGCAACCCAGGGGAAGGTTCACTGGAAGTGGGGAATTTGATTGGATTGATTTAAGGGAAATTTTACAGTAAACCCCGATATTTTAGGGTAAAAACCATGGTTTCCGGTTTCTCCTTTAAACCAATCCCATGAGAATTGGGATTTAATGTGGGTAAAACCATGTCATAAACTACCCATTTGGGAATGGTTTTTATACCACCTATTTATGGTGTGGTTTATGCCACCTAGAAAAATGGTGATGACTGGGGGATGGTTTGCTGTTGTTTTACCACGTCTTACTCACATGATATTGGGATTATATATGGTGTATTGATATGTTGTGGGAAACCCAGTCATGAACCCAATGGGAATTAATGTTACTGAAGCAAAAATAGACCAGCCATATTTTGATGGCATTTTACCACCCATAAATTGGGAAACATCGGGGAAAAAAAACATCTGGCGTGGGATGAAACAACTGCCATGAACAACTGCCATTTGGGGATGGTCGGTATGTTGATATATTGTGTTCTCATTTTTCAATGAAAGGCACATATCTATATATATATATATATCTTTATATATCTATATATGTCTATATACGTCTCTATGTATATATGTATATCTATATCTATATCTCCAGCTGTCTATCTATCCATAAAGAATATTATATATATATACATATGACCATTGTTAGTCCACTTGAAGAGGGACATCTCCAACTCTATATATATATATATATGAATATCTATCTCTCGATCTTTTCTTATCTTGTCTTGTCTTGCCTTATCCTATCCGAACCTATCCTACCCAATCTTATCTATATCGATCTATCTCCGTGGGAGGCCCAATTGGGGTTTTTGTGATCGCCGCAGCCAAGGATGCGGTCTTCGAGCTGGATGCCGACCTGCGATTGCAAAAAAATAGTGGCAGCCTGGCGGCTCTGTTGATGCGAAATCGTGCAGGAGCCACCTTGAAAGGCGAAAGCTTTGCGGTCGCTGGTGTGGTTGAACATTTGTGTGTAGTATGGTACTGGTAGAAGCATATGTCATACATGTATATTATATATACATGATACATACATACATACATACATACATACATACATACATACATACATACATACATACATACATACATACATACATACATACATACATACCATACAATACATTACAATACATTACATTACATTACATTACATTACATTACATACATACATACATACATACATACATACATACATACATACATACATACATACATACATACATACATACATACATACATACATACATACACACATACAGACAGACAGACAGACAGACAGACAGACATACATACATACATCCATACATCCATACATGCGTACATGCGTACATGCGTACATGCGTACATGCGTACATACATGACACACACACACACACATATATAGACATATATATATATATATGAACAACGGCTTTTATCTTGTTGAATGGAGACTAGTATTGTGGCCTGCCCCGGTTTGGTGGAAACATCATAGTTAGCATGTAAAGCGAGGTAGGAACACCCTGAGAACGAGGTAACCATCGCATGCAAAACATTTAGCCATTGAAAACAAGTGCGGCATTGGAGAACGAGGTCAGACCCCGAAAAAGTGACGGGATTGGAGAACGAGGTAGGAACAGCCTGTCAACTGCGTTTTGTACCAAATAACTTCTGCGCCACACACACACACACTTATATATATACTGTAGATATATACTGTGTATATATATATATATGATGTATGTATGATATATGTATATATGATTTATAAACATATGTGAGATGTAATAAATAACTATATATTATAACGTGTGTACAAATATGCTGTAGATGTTTATTGTAAGCTCTATGTCTGGATGTGTATATACACATACCCATACATCCCACACACATGCGTAACAAACACAGTCACAGAGGGCATACAGACTCACATAATATAATGTATTCTGTGCACAAATGCAGTATTGCCAAAGAAAGATCAGTTTACTGAAGAAAAAGAGAGGGTAGAGGGTCTATCCAACCCCAAGGGGAAGATGACCCTAGGTCCCTAGGTGACCATGTCGCATCGCCAGGCTTGAAGTTCACGGGTTTGGTGGTCCCTTCAGATGTCCAGCGGGTAACTCAGATTCTGGACACCAAGAGTGAGCACGGCTCCGCAGATGCTATGGCACATGTCTTCCGGACGCACCTCATGGACAGCTACGACAGCAAGTTCTGCGCAGAAGTCTTCCAGGTGAAATTCACCCTGGCCAGTGGAGCGAAATGCCACATCGTTGGTCTCAGGCGACGGGAGGAGATAGGATCAAGATGTGTACTTAGGTAATTCACCATGGCTGGGAAATCCCCGAACTCAATGGAGGTTTATAGCTGGGACAATCATTGAACTAAATGGGTGGTTTTGCCATGGTTGATTACCAGAGGGTAATGACTACTTTAGATCTTTAGATGCCCTTGTTCTTTTTATGTTTTCGTTTTACGGGTCCGGTGCATTTGAAGCTACAATCACCCAGCCGAATATTGGTCTATTGGTCAGTCACGATCGTGATACCGGACCAGGGCATGCCTGGGGTGCCCACTTTCCTGGCAAATCTGCCATTTTCAGGTGAAGATCTGCAGTTCTTGGTGGCTGAAATCTCCAATCTGGGCATGTCAGCTCCCACACTTCCACAAAACTGTCTGGAAGAAACAATTATATATACTCTAGATGCTAGTGAGCTTAAAAAGTTCAAAAACATCTTCAAACAAATCATTTCATGGCCAAACATCCTAAGAAAAAAATCAACAAACACATCCTGGCTTTGCCAAACGCCTTCCACCTTGCCAGGGACGTCACGGATGTCCAGCCGCTGGCATACCACCCAGAGCCGCGCTCGGAGGTGCGGTCGGAGGTGCCCGAGGCCCTCCAGCTGGAGATCAAGCCTCCCACTGGGTCCCTTGGTTTTTGTTTGGGATTTTGGGGATCATTTTGGGATCACTGATCATCACTGATCATCTAGCAACAGGGTGTAAAACTGAAGTTTCGTTCACGAGTTTCTCTTAGTCTTTGTTTTAAGTTTCTTATACTTTCTATTTATGTACTATCCAGTGGTTGGGAGGGAGCGCTTCGGAGCTATTAATTATTAGTACCCATATCATCCCCTAGTAAAAATTTGTGGAGCCAAACAAATCCGAATTGAGTTTCCAAGCACATGATAGTTTTTGCACTTTTTCATCATACCTGAAATCATTTGGTTATATTGTACGTGTTCCATCTTACCCCTATCGTCATTAATATTGGGTAGGTTGAAACCACCAAGCAGAGATATTTTTGGATGGGCTTGCAGGGCAGAGATCATCGTTTGGAAGGGATTCGGCTAAGCCACATACCCTCTGGTTATGACTAACACTTCGCCATGGTATAGATGGCCCATAGAAATAGATGGTTTACCTATTAAAAATGGTGATTTTCCATGGCTATGTTAAATAACCAGATGGTAATCATTCCTTTGCTTTGATTTGGAAGGAGCAATTCGAGGGATCGCGCCGGATTTGCTACAAACATGTGGAAGTGTCGACGCGTTTTTGAAGGGAATGCTTTTTCAACCACACAATTTTTGAAGGGGCTTTCGGCTACAAAAAGACATTGTTTTTGATGAATTTTGAGTTTGCTTTGTTCTTTTGAAGAGATTTGCTTAGACTTTTGTGTATAAAGATTCAACATCCTGAAGCATGATTTGTCAATTATTATTACTGCAATGTGGTATGCCCAGTGAACCTTAAATAGGGTATTGTTTAGCATTGGATTTACCACATGCTTGCATGGTTTTGAAGATGATACTGTATTTTCCACAGGGATTGTAGCCACAAACATGTGTCATTGATGATAATGAGGATTTAGTACCATTTTGTTTGGTACTAATCCATCCGCAATATTGTTTTGGGCAAAACAAATTAGAAAAAAACACTTCATATCATTTTCAATCCCGCGTACGCGAATTTCATATCTAATCAAAGCATTGCCACAACATATCTATGTGTTCTATTTGGGGTTGAAACCCTGGTTGAGATTTGTGCTGGATTGAACATGTTTTTATTGTATGTGGGTTTTTGGGGTGGCGACGCCGGTAAGAGTTGACATGACGCCAACATGGAACCTATAAACATGATGAATATGGCTATACTGCCTTCGCAAGAGGAAATCTGCCAGATAGCTGTGCTGGATTTTCACTGCCTTTTGCTCCTAAAGTCTGGAGGTCTTTCACCGTTCCGTGTGTTCGCACCCCCTTATCATTGCTGTTGTTTCAGCTGTTTCGTTGGAGCCTCGGCCCCTCCGGAAGGATGGTGAATCAACAATCCAAACTTTTGAACAAGAAACACCTACCACGGCCATCTGTTGGTCCCTTGATGCCCGGAAGAAACACATCGCAGCAAAATCGCTGAAGCCACGCCACACCCAGGACCTACGAACTGGAAAGCCTCTCGGAGTTCTCGCGGCACCCGCTGAGTCGCAGGAGCTCTATTTGCAGCTCCCCGCCCATGACGCCCCAAACGACGGATGGGGACAACAGATCGGTGCGCAGGGGATGTGGGATCTGGGTCGAGAATGGTGTGCCAATGGGGACCACAAAGTTGATAGTAAATACATGTAATTAATTAAATACATTTAAATACCATATCATATCATTTTTTTTGCATAATATATAATATATGAATGATATATATATATGATATATGATATATATATATATATACAGATATATATATATATGTAAATAAATTTATTACATTCATCATTCATTCGGCAACTGATTAAGTGGGATTGAATCATTTGTCCCCTGGCCACGACATGAAACCTGCGATTGGTCCCGGTTTTTATCCATAGAAATAGGCTAGGTACCATCCAAACCAGGGGTCACTTATAATAACTTCCAGGTTTTAGAAGACACCCTCCCCACCAAAAAGGGAGGCTCATTTTTTTGAAACCATCAGATTAGGGATTTTCCATGGCTATGTTAAATAACCAGATGATATATATATATATATATATAATGTCGGTTCAACCATCAGATTTGCGATGTTTTTCCTCGCAGGCCAACAGCAAAGATGTCTTTCTGGAAATTGACGTCGAGAACGAGATGCTGAAGTCAGCCACCGCGCCCTTGACCCAGCTGGCAGGGCGGCGACTTTCGGATCTCACGTTTTCGCCCTTTGCGCTTCAAATCTGCAAGCGGCTCTGTAGGGATGCGGCGGCCATTGAGTCATCAAACCAGGTGTGGTTGTCATTCATCACCTACGCTGGGTAACATGATGAATCGACGCAAGCACACATCATATTAAGATATGACATGATGCTTATCTTATGATGTACGCGATAATAACACTCCAAGGATATTGTTCCCAGAATTTGGTTGAAGGGGTTTTATCTGCAGGATACTCCCTATTTGGGGTAAAACACATGGTTTCGTCTAAAACTTCCCTTAATCAACCCAATGAGATGTGATTTGAAGTAATTACCAAGGTTTTCAATGGAAAAAACGATGGCAGCTTGGCCAACAACGCTGTTGTCTTGCACACATTTTTAAACCCTGAGGTGTTGCCGGACCAGATCGCATCCTTCAATGATATGCCCTTGCTAGTCGTGGCGCCTCACATGATGGAAGCCTCTGGCTTTATGAGAGTCTCCCGCTCAGATGGTGGCAACTTTCACGCGATGATCTGCGTTCGGAAACGGAAGATGTCAATGTCTCCAGACCCCCCCAGGGTGCGGCCAGTCCACTCCCTGTAGGCCATTTCTGGTGCCAATTGAATCCAATTGAGCAGTGTTCAACACCTTTCAAAATGGTCAAAGTCCCGTTTGGTCGATGAAAGGGGGCTATAATCCACCGTGACCACCATCCAATATCTTGCGGATTGTTGCCATCCAGTGGGGGAAAGCTCATTCAAAAAACCAACCAGTACAATGAAACGGCGGTTTTGAACACTGCTCAAGTCAACATATACAGTACCTCTCAACTTGGACCCTTTCATCATCTTTTTTTTGGTTGGTGGTTTCAGAGCTGAATTTGACTTTTCTCATTTGCGGACCCGGGATGTTTGGGATGGGAGGAATTTGAAACCACCAGCCAGATCCAGTCGCAGCGTTTCGAAATGCTGATGCAGGCCGTAATCCTGCGAAAGTTAGTGATCCGTCATTGCAACTGATTATGGGTCAAACATGGAGCCATCATCCTCCAATTGTTGCTTTTTATTCAATTTTACTCTCTTCAAAGATTTTTGGAGACATTTGATCATAGTTTTGATCCAATTTTTGTGGTGCCATTGGTGCCTTTATTTGATGGAACGAACTTGACCCATACCCACTGTTTTTGTTGCAAGAAAGACCGAGCCCGTTGGCGAAAAAACATCCTTATGGCGGTGAAGTGAAAGTGGTCAATACGCACCGCACGGCGCAAACATACCGTATAACAACATCAGTTGTATCACACACACACATAGATAGATAGATAGATAGATAGATAGACAGGCAGGCAGGCAGGCAGGCAGGCAGACAGACAGACAGACAGACAGACAGATATCTATCTGTCTGTCTAGCTGTCTGTCTGTCTATCTATCTATCTATCTATTTATCTATTTATCTAAGATTTATAATAAGTACTTACACAACTCTGACATAACATTTTCTTTGGTGTATATATATATTTAGTTATATATACAAATATGATACTATAGCTTTTAAGACCTACCATGTGAAACATCAAGAAATAGTGCCAGGTTGAACTTCGAAAGCTCAGCTGAGGATCCTGGGCTCAATAGTCGGTGCAGCGTTTCAGCTGTGGGGGGCTAGGGATCTTTAGGGTTGGTTTAGGGTTGCTGGCTGATTAGGGCTTGTTTAGGTAACTTGTGGGGCTGTTCCTGCAGGTTGTTTTGAAGATTGAGGGTTTAGTTGTGGTTGATTTAGGCTCAGTTTAGGCTTTATTTAGGCTTTGCCTTTTCTTTTGGAAGGGTGTTGCAGTTGTTTGTCAAGGGTTGTAGTTGAAAGCTCGAAACACAGCTTAACTTATGCAGAATATGTTTAAGGCATGGTTCAATTACGGTGGGCACTGGGCGCTGCCTTAGGCCTTTGCAGCCTTGTTGTGCAGTCCCGCATGGAATTCGGTGGATTTTGGGCAAACGTCAGCCCCCTAGCAATATAAAAATGGAAACATATTGTTAATGTATTTGGTAGATACTATATATATATATATATACATATATATATATATATCTGTGTGTGTACGTAGCTATTACAAGAATGTAGATGTATGTGAGGTTCTCACGATTCTGACCAACCACAAAGTGTGGGTAAATTATAATGACATCACCACCACGTCACGAGAAATTATTGGAGAACTGCGCGGGTAACTATCTCAAAAGTTGCATGATTTCCGTTTTTTCAAGCTGGACAAATGCAATACTAAGTTGTGCATGAACTTTGAAACATGAGGATGTACTGTATCTCGCCCAAATGAGTCCAAACGATGGATGGTTTTTCAGAAAAGGGGTAACATTCCGTTTGGCGATGTCCAAACGGGACGAACTAATCCAATGTGTTTTTTTTTGGAACTGATCCTGGATCCAGTTGATGGTGCAGTTCATCCATTAGCATTGTGGAACCACTCATTTCAGCATAGCTTGGCAGACGAAAGTGAGCCCACGCATTTTTTTGTTGTGCATTGACCATTGGTCCCTCCTATGGCCAGAGCAAACCAAGCACTGGTCTGGGCAATCAACTTTTTTGAAATTAGAAGATGTTAGAATCTAGAAAATCAATGAACATCATCTACTCCCATCCTTCTAATAATTATTAAAAACCTCCCGGAGACCATGGTTACGTAGGGGATTTAAATGGATTTAACACATATTTGGGATCACAGAATGAGGGTGTTTTATATGAACCGTGGGATAAGACACGCTGGTTTCCGCCAAGTTGAACGCTCCTGAACGTAGCTTGGTGGTTTAGAGGAGCCTGGGGAGGGTCTGGGAAATCTGGGAAAGGTTTGGGCGCGCATCTAGTGGCACCAGAGTGGGAGCAATGGATGATATGGATGGTGATGGCTCAACTTAAAAGTGTATATCATGAAATATCATGAAATACCATGAAATATCATGCATTATCATGAAATATCAACAGTCAATAGTATGGAGATAGATGGAGTGTGGTTGATAGAAATATATCATCGAAATGTTTTTTTCAGCGAATATGATGGAAATACCTGGAACTACCCACGAAAGATGGACATATTGACAGCCAAAATGATGATGGGCGGCCCGCGCCGTGTCGCCAAGCAGCCCTCAGGACAGGTTCTCCCATACTTTATCAGACTTTATCATGTCGTGAAAAGGCTATCCAACTTGAGCTGCCTCGGCCGGTTACATTAGTATATGTATAATATATATATATTTATACACATACATACACACACACACATATATATATATATGATATATATATATATAATATATATATATATATATTAATAATAATAATACTAATACTAATAATGATAATAATAATAATAGTATATATATATATGTAGGAGATGATTTTAAGACCGAAATGATTTTCTTCTAACCCTGAACTGGACTTAACTCCGTATTGGAGTAATTTTAGTAGGGACATTAGCTTTAAGAAGTAATTTACCATTTGATTTACCGAGAAGTAATTTACAATTTGATTTACCGTGTAATTTACCAGTATGTGGTTTGGACGGTGAGCTATATATATATTTATATATAATCATATGATATAATTATATAACTATATTATATAATTATATATAACCATATTATGTACTTATATAATTATATATAATTATATGCTATAGTTTATATATATATATATTGGAAATGAAGACCACATGTTTGGTTCCTTGAGCCTTTGGCTAGACTTTTCCTTCCTTTTTCTTGGGACACCACCCTTCCCTGAGAAGCCCGGATAGCTCGAGGTAAGGTGCGAGCAATGGAAGCAGCGGTGAGCACCGGGGCCACTACCGATGAGTGGAGGATGACTCACAAGGTTCAGCACCAGGAGCAGAACCTGATCTGAAGAATTTTTGGACATCATGGGATTAGTGAGGATTTGATAGGGATCATATGGGATTAGTGATGTTTTTTTTAGTGGGCAGCCTTTTTCTGTCCTCGAAAGTCACCGGAAAAACAGGGGGATCTCAGGTGCCAGGTTTGGCATTGGAAAGCCGATGCGCAGATCAGGATAGATTGATGGATCAATGGATGACCGTTTATTCGCTGTTTTTCTCCTCCTAACACCCCCTCTCTCTGCATATGGCAAATATCTAGTCTATATAGTGGTGAATGAAAAACCTTAAACATCACATTTTGGTGGATTTTGGTCGCTAGATTCTCTCAATGAATCTAAATGATGCTTAATCATTACACTGTACGCTATGTGATGTTGGACGAAAATCCCATGTCTTGAAGGAACTGGCTCTTCAAGAAATCTCGACTCCCTTGGCTGCTTCCAGCTACTGATGGAACTCTGCAGCGAAAGGTGGCACCTCGCAGCGTAGGGGACCATTTTTGGTGTCTGAAAGTCGCTGTTTTATGTTTTCTTTCTGGGTGAAAATCGGAAATGAGAAGTTGACACTGTTTCCAAAACCCAAGTTTTTGTACATGTTTCATCATCTTTTCTCGTTTCACATCCTTACTTTTTTTGAGGAGAATTTGTGATGCACTGGAGCTGAGGATGGTGTAGAGACCGTGTTCAATTCGCACGTACACTTAGAATCATACGGCAGCACCTGAAAAGGAACTTTAAACAGCACTCCGGAAATCAGCATCCTGTGTTGTTATACTTTGTTATGCACTAGAATGAGTTATGTGAACATTGCTAAAGTGCAAATCCTCATGTATTTTGACATATTTTTTCTCTGATCCATCGCAGTCTACATATGGGTGAAGCACCTTCGCCGCGGCCCTGAGAGGCGGCCCGTGGCGCCACGGCCCCGAGAGGTAGCTGAGAGGTAGCTTGGATGCAGCCGCCCATCATGGGTTTAGGGAGATCACGGGGACTTCACCCAGAAAAATTGGAAAGTCATGGTGATTTGATGGGATTCTGTGGGGATAACATTGGATGAACCTGGCCAAAACAGTGGCAAATGGGGACAAAAACTGAGAAAAACGGCCAGTTGCGGCCGGATTTTTGTGGGGAAAATGATGAAAACATATGAAAATTAGGGGATGGAATGGGGGATCCTATTTTCAGAAAAATTCAATTGGTTTACAAACCCATCCAACTGATTCGAACTGTAGACATATCATGATATAATTATGCAGCATAAGTCCTACTTGGCCCAGTTGCAAACCAACTTACCAAGATGAGGATCCAATTCATGTGATTTTGTCCGAAACTAGGGTGCAACCCATTCCAAAAGGATACTGTAATCATAGTTTTCTTTAATTCAAGGCTATGGAATTGGTGCATGTCCCACAGTCACAGCAAAATCTTCTGGATGACATCCCCTGCCGGCCCTGCCGGTGCGCCGCTGCGGCTCGAGTCAATGCACTGAAACCGAAGTACTAGTTCCTGTGTGTTTTCCTCCCATTTGGTAGGAAAACTCTTTATTCATACTCCATCCATATGATGAAGTTCGCTGTTTCTTGGCTGCTCCTGCAGCCTTTTCAGCTCCTGGCGCTCAGCGTGGAGAACCAAACTTCCCTCGGCCACACGGCAGCCACGGCACGCCTGGGCCGGATCCAGCTGCACCAGCAGGGGGTTCCCCCCCTGCC